AACAGCCCTGAAGAGAGGCGGCACTCTGGTCATCAGAATTCCACATGAAGACAGATATCTGTTGACAAAACAGGGTGAAAGAGTGTCATTCAGCAAAAGCATACTTAGTACCTGTGGTGGCATTGTCCAAGCCTTTGTGTACTTTTTTAGAGCGATAATTTAGGCACCATCTTGCTTGTTGGATGTGTCAAGATAGCAGACGACTCCTGAGTCAGATAAGAGTGGAGAGAATGTATGAACAACATAGATAGCTGTTTTCAATTCGATTTGAACTCTCAATCAAGACAGAGCCTTGATAAGAAAAGTGAAAACAGTTGCTCATTAGCTTTAATCTAATCCCAATAATATGCAAAATCCCAATAACTACTCTAAAGTGTAGTTGTCCTTGTGGGCCGCACAAGTATATACCACAAGTCCACAACCAATGTAGTCCAAATCTTAAAACAACTCAAGCCAGATCTTTAAAAAAAAAAAAAAAAAACCTTTCAAGATTCACAAACTTGTGCTCTACCAGGCAGACGAGTCCTTCATTGAATAAACAGCAAACGCACATAGTTTATGGGCAATGCTCTATCAGAACTCATTTGTGCAAATTTTAAATGCAATTGTGTGTGAAAATTTTGCATTTAGGAGATCTCGGTATTGTTTTAATTGTTATGCGCTAGCTAATTTAATTTAAAAGACTTTGAATGCCAAGCTTCTGAAATGTTAATGAGGGGCTTAAAATGCCGACTGTGATGCTACCAGGCAGCCTTACAAACTATACCACACAACCAATGCAAAATACAAGCTGCATAAATCAGTTGTGTACTAGAAGAAAAAAAAAAGTGTCCTTCTTGATACAAACTGTTCATCATTGACTACAAATCCTTATGGGACTGGGAGCATGGTTAAAGGAAATAGTCTATGCAAATCATAACATGTTAACCTGCCCTCTATTTGTCAAGACATAAATCACAAGGAGAGCGAGATCACTGACCACTATAAAAAATTCAAGGGCGGTAGTAACAGCCCATTCCATAAAAATGTGTCCCATGTATGCCAGATCAATCACGTACACATCTGAAATGCAAGGGGATGGGGCTTTGCTCTCAAAATGGCACAATATCTCCTCAATGGAGAGACCGGCACCCAAATTCATTCATGTCAGTGCAAGTGCTCCCAAGAGCTGTCAAGCAATGCGTAACTGTGACAGCAGATACTATAGTGACAGAACAGAAACTTCAGATGGCCTTATGCCAAGCAGGCTGCCCAGCACTTGGTATGGGTACACTACGTCCCAGGCCACAAGTGATAAACGTGAAAACGAAAGTGTGGCTTTATTCGTCACAGTGTGGCTAATTCTGTAAACTCATACCTGCAAAGGTGTCTTGAAAGTATTGCTAATGAAATCATTGTTGCACTATGCATTTGGTTACATGGTGGGTGCCAAAAGTTTGTTTCTCCAATAAAAAAAAACTGATTGAATCTGATATCCTGCTATATTGTATAATAATAACTAAATCTTAACTAACACTAATTGTATGCAGCTGGTGACCAGATTTTTCAAAAAAAGACGTTTTGTTATTTCCCCTTAAATTTGGCTGCATCTGAGCTTGAAGCTATAATAAAATAAAAACACTCAAATAAACACCCGCTGCATGCAGTTGATAAGCAATTATTCCAAAATGAGAAAAGCTCTTGTTCGATACACCTGGTGAATTACATAATATCTTAACCTTGCCACTGTAACTTATCTGGCAACCAGATATGTGACTCCCTCCCACCCTTCCTCCTAAAGTTAGTGTGTGTGTTTTTTTTTTTAACACATTTATTTGAGTATTGTCAAATACATGAATACATTGTTGGACAATAAATAACGGTTTTATTAACACAAATGTCAAGTTGGCCTTATATTGTTTCAACTTGTAAGAGCGAAACTAACCTTCCAACTATCGGCAGCTCGCGAGTTATTTCAACAATCACTTCGATCTTCACATTACCGCACAACAGGCCGTTCGAAACATTAAACCGTCGTTAATTACCTCACTCCATTCCTGCCCGGTGTTTCTCGACTGGTTGTGGAAGGTACGTTTCTGATACATTCCGCCACCGCTCTCCTCAAACACCGGGAGCCTCTCGCCATCTTCACTTCACCTCTTTTTCGCCTCCTCCTCCCGTCGAGAACTCTTTTTTCCCTTCTCAAAGACCAGCCTTCTGAGAGACCCTCCCTGGGATCTCATTGGCTGAAGCTGTTTTTCTTGACTTCCGATTGGCTGAGTCTTCCGTCCTTCACATAGCCATACTACTGACGTCAGAGTTTTAATTGTGCAGAGGGTTTGCGTGCGCAGAATTGTCACGGGATGCAGGATTGGGTTGCCCAGACTGCGCGACCTACAGTGCATAGTAAAGGTTACAGCTAAATTTGTTTGAGGACACAATGTAAAATCATGAATAATTTTAAGACGGATGCGTTAAAACGAATACATTTGAGGAAAATATCTTTAGTTTAAAATGCATAGGGGTGAATTTAGAGTTGTCATTGAGATGACTTGGAAAAAGTGTCCCAATCACCCCTCATGTCTGTCCCGTATTATAGCTGTTATAAAAATACTACTGAACTACACTGGCTTAGACTGCTTGTTGATGTAATATAAGTTAGACCTGATCAAATTTGGAAAACTTTTTGTAATGATGTATTTTCCAAAGTAGATTATCTCTCAATTTCCCTTAAAGCTATCAGATTTTGAAAAATGGTCATTGCCTGGCGGTTGATCTCTGACCTCACCTATTAATTTAGAACAACTAGAATACTTCCCAGACAGCAACATAGTGTTGTTCTAGTATTCAACGCATACCAGATGTGAGCCGGATCTGGGCCGACCCGACACTATGTTGCTGTCTGGGTTGAAATAAAATAAATAAATCATTAAGCTACACAAATCGCATGTATATTATGCATTTCTTCCAGATCAAGACTAATGCCATTATTTGGTTTATATCTGTAAATGCTAAATTTTACCATTTGTTATTTTATTCAGTTTTTCAAATGTATTTCATTCCTGTTACTCCATAAGACTTTCTATGGAAATGGACACTATTCTTTATTCTCCATAATGCTTTTTTAAAACTGTAGTTGGATCTCGGCCTCATTTGATTGCTGTTTAACATATCAGTTTGAAACAATAAATGCTTTTTATATAATCTCTTTGTTTATAATAGGTTTCTATAAGCTCTTTAGAACGGCTATTTTAGAAAGAGGTATCCTGAACTGATGACATTCCTCGGAATAAAATGTGGTCTTTGCCACATAAATATTTTAAATATTTATCTTGGAGTCTAACTAAAAATATACGCAGAAAGAAATATCCCAAAAGCTGCACTATGGCTACATTTCTCAAGCAGATGCGTGGGGTGTTGTTGACATTTGCCAGCTGTGATGATGTCTCATGCTCGTGCTCTGCGCATGCGCGTTCTTGTGGCCGCAGTAAAGTCGGATGTGCAGTCAAAGGCCTTCCGGTACTGAGGCGCACACAACAGCTCGAAAATGGCGCAGATCGCCAAAACACATGACGGTAAATTTGTTAAAATATCTCTAATTAATTTATCGCATTCTGTTGTTCATACTCATATATTGTATTTGGGTGCTATTTCTAGTCTTAAGAAGTTGAATTAGCGAGAATTTAGCCGAATTAGACCTGTGTGAGGCGGTGAATAGAATATGGCGTCTGATCGTTGAATAAGACTGGCCGTGGCGCACATGAGAAATATCAATAAATCCTGTATCTGGAGATTTGTATTGTGGTTTATAGCAGAGTTATTTCTAACATTCGTTTGCAGAAATGCATATTACGTATTATATTCATTGCCGTTACTGTGTACATGTTAAAACACACTGGTTAAACACCGATGTAACGTTACTGAAACCAAAATGGCGTTGCAAACAGTCAAAAACAGAACAAAACTTGTCTGATGTCTAATATCTAATGATCTTAATATTGTTTAAAACAAACAACATAGTACATAGTTTACGCATTCTTGTCTCTCCGTACAGCGCGCTCTCTCTCCCTCTCTATATATATATATATATATATATATATATATATCTACATATAATATATATATATATAGGTCGTATAATTGATGGCTCTTTTGATGATTGTATAATAGTTGTACGCAGTTTATAGGTTTTGTGGGGTTCTGATCTGGTTTTATTATTATTATTTTTCTTCTTAGACATAGAGGCTCAGATCCTGGAAATCCAGGGGATGAAAGCCGCCCTGGCAGAGGGAGCTGACCAGGGTGTCGGGCTTGATTCCACTGGATATTATGACCAGGAGATCTATGGAGGCAGTGACAGCCGTTTTGCCGGATATGTGACTTCAATTGCTGCCAATGAGCAGGAAGAAGTAAGCGATGACAAAATGCTTTCAATATTTAATAAGAAGCCATGTCAGTATGTGTAAGTGTTTCTGATCCCTACTATTTTTTATTTCAGGATGATGATGAAGATTCTTCCACTAGTCTGCTTGGTCAGAAGAAACCAGGATATCATGCACCGGTTGCAATACTCAATTCCATTCCTCAGTCAGATGAGCAGGTAATGAACAGATTTTCAAGTTCCAATATTATTTTTGTTAAATTTTGTGAAGTCTTCAATAAAGCGTCACTTTATGTATTTCCCAAATGCATTTTTTTGTAGGATATAAAAGAAAACTGTGATTATACAATATTGTCTTTTTTGCCCTTCCTGCAGTATGATCCCTTTGCTGAACACAGACCACAGAAGATTTCGGACCGCGAGGACGAGTACAAGAAACGCAGACAAAAGATGATCATCTCCCCAGAGCGCCACGACCCGTTTGCTGATGGTAAATTTCACACCATCGTTCTCCTCTGTTTAATTTATCTGTCCATGCCGATCAGTATTTACTCTGCCCATGAAGTTCCGGTCCAAACTGGCCTTTTTTTCTGCTTAACCCTTCGAACACCACCCAACAGCTTGCTCCCTGGACTCAACTGACCTGTAAGACTGTCTCAGTAAGACACAATCATTTAATGGAGTGCATTGAGAACTAATTATGATGGATTAATGGTTACAAATGAGTTGGGCAGCAAAGGTTTTGGGAGACAGTTGGTTGGGTGGTGTCATCTGTCCCATCAAGGCATAGGTTGCAGGTAGGTGTGTTGTTCGAAGGGTTAATGTATTTTTTTGTGTGAAACAGGCAATTTAATAGTCAGGCACCTTCAACAAAGACACTTTGAAGTATAAGTAAAAGTTTATTATTACAAGAGGCTGCAGCATACTGTGGTTGTGCAGTTAGTGTTCTTTTCCGCATTCTCTTGCTCCTTAATATATTCTAGATATTTGCCCAATGGCATGCTTGTTAGAAACCCCTTATGTGTCAAAGTCAGAGTTTTTTTTTTTTTTTTCCAAACAAGAGTGGAACTCTAAATAAACTTGAGCCACCTGTGGAAAAATGTTAAAATTAACTGCTTGTAGTGTTAAAAAGCCAAACTGAACATCCAATGACATTTCAGCTATTTTAGTATATTTAAACCTATGGCCTGTGGGTGCTCGTACTGTTACAAATTAGCAAGGAGTTTAGGAAGTATAGAACATGTTTAAACAGGCTGCACAATCTCAAAATGGCAGCATTCAGGATCAGATTATAGGAGGGAATTGATTCTGGATCAGGCAAAACATCTTGCATGTAGTCCCAGATAGAGGAAGCTTTACAAAACTGTTGTGTAAATATATTTCTATTTTATTAACATAAAATAGAGATATATCTATTGAAGAATCTGTGTACCAAGATTCCACAGGCCCATACTAACTGTCCTTAATTTCTCTCCTACAGCAGTACTGCTATGCCAGTCCTGTCTGCACTCTCTTAAGGGTGCAGCAACTCGTCCTGTGTAGGTTATGGTCAACAAAAAGAAGCGTGTTTATCAGATAAATCAAGACCATAGTTGGTAGTTTTGCTTTGGTGTGAGGCCAGAGGGCCTTTAAGGGGAATGGTTTCACAAAACCTTTTTTTTTCCTTTACTTTTATGAAGTTTTGTCATTTTTAAAGCCTCATCAAGGACAGTTTTCTCAACTTCATGTCCTCCCTTCTCATTTCAACTTTAAAAAAAACAAAAACAATTCATCATAGCTTATTTTTTTAAGGAAACCAGATGCACAATTATGCACACAAGTGTGCATTTTAAATCCTTAATTTGTTTGATTTTTTTTTTTTTTTTAAAGATTTTATTAGAATTCCCCAAAGTGTTCAGTGTCTCTGGCTGCAACACGTATTGTACAATAAATTATTTAAGAAGTCGGTTTTTTTGGAATACAAGGTTTTTTTTTTCCCTTTTTTGTTTATAAATGAGTAACAAAAACAGAACAGGTGGTATGCAATTGTGTGTGTGAGTTCAAACCCTTTTCCAAAGTGTTACTAATGGTAAAGAGAAATTTTCTAGGCTTCTTTTCTGCCGGTTGAAGTCTGACTGCAGAGGGACCCTTGGCACTGAAAGTGTACGTATTCTGGAGAGCGCAGCCCAGGACCCTGCATCAGTGATGGCTATATCCTCTCCTTATCTCCTCTTAAAAGCAACAGAAACCTCTTTTTGTACCTGCCTGTTCTTAATGTATGACTGTAAAGAGTGCTTAGCTTTTATTGTCTAGGGTTGTTTTGTGTTATGAGAGGACAGTAATTTAAACATTAAGGCCATCTATTCAGGGACAGTTGACTGTAGTGCTTTGTGTGTGAAAACACTGGTTTTGAGACTCACTTGACTGACGGTCTCGCATCTTGTTGGTGCTCTTTCGCATAGGGGGCAAAACGCCGGACCCCAAGATGCAGGTCAGGACGTACATGGATGTTATGAAGGAGCAGCATCTGTCCAAAGAAGAGGTGAATGTTTCTCTATGTGCTTGTCTTCTAGTGAAGCGCTGGTTTATAAGATGTTGTTTATAAGAACCTTGAGTTAAATTAAGAGACTAAAACCTTACATGTTACTTTCTCCAGAGAGAGATCAGGCTGCAGATGGTAGAGAAAGCAAAATCTGGAGATCTGAAAGCAGTGAACGGCTCTGCTGCTGCTCAGGCTGCTGTGGCCAAACGCAAACGTCGCTGGGACCAGACAGCTGACCAAACCCCCAGCAACTCCACACCCAAAAAAATGTCCAGTTGGGACCAGGCAGATGGGTCTTCTGAGGTGAGTCTGTTATTACTAACAATATCAGAGCTGCAAAGTATTGCAATCAGTCTGTAAAACATATGCTTGCGAGTTCATTTAAAGCGCACAACATAAAACTTGGTTCATAGACTTTTTTCACTGCTGTAAAGTTATGTGACGATGTTTTTTTTGTGCACAACGTGCAGACATGATTAAATTTAATTTGGAGTTTATTTTAATTTTATTTTTCATTTTTATATATATATATATATATATATATATATATATATGTGAAGAGTTCAGATGCAAAAGCCTCTAAATGCCATTTGAAATTTTCTTCTTTAATGATGATTTTTATCAAACTTGTATATTTAAGTTCAGTAATTTCACTTAAATAACAATTAATAGGTAATTATCATTGCCATTTAAGTGAAATTACTGAACTTAAATATACGAGTTTGATAAAAATCATCATTAAAGAAGAAAATTTCAAATGGCATTTAGAGGCTTTTGCATCTGAACTCTTCATATATATTTCTTATTTTTTATTTTATCAATTAGTTGTTACAGCCTAAACAACATTATCACAAGGCCACTTACCCAGGAATATTGCTAATCATGATCTTTTCTGTACCCAGACACCTGGACATACACCAGGACATACGCCTTCCAACAGTCGTTGGGACGAGACACCTGGCCGTGCCAAAGGTAGTGAGACCCCAGGAGCCACCCCAAGCACCCGTATGTGGGAGCCCACACCGAGTCACACGCCAGCCGGAGCTGCCACACCTGGTCGAGACACTCCCGGACATGCTACTCCTGGACATGGAGGCGCCTCTTCCAGCGTGCGCAAGAACCGCTGGGATGAGACACCAAAGACAGAGAGAGGTCTTTTATTTTGTCCTTTTTTTGTATTTGCTGATAGTAGATGTAAAGCAGAGTAATTTTAAGTTGTTTTATTGTGTGTTTCAGAGACACCTGGTCATGGCAGTGGCTGGGCTGAGACTCCTCGTACAGATAGAGGAGATGAGTCAGTGGGTGAGACGCCCACCCCGGGTGCAAGCAAAAGGAAGTCGAGATGGGATGAAACACCAGCCAGTCAGATGGGCTCTTCAACTCCTTTGCTAACCCCTGGAAAAACGCCTCTGGGAACACCTGCCATGAATATGGCCACACCCACTCCAGGTACTGGACAAATGCTGTTGTTTATTTTTATTGTTGTTGAATGTAACGTTTTCTGCACCGGTTTGTGGATGTTGTTGTAAAATTTTCTATGTTTGCAGGTCACCTAATGAGCATGACCCCAGAACAGCTGCAGGCTTGGCGCTGGGAGCGAGAGATTGATGAGAGGAACCGCCCATTGACTGATGATGAACTTGATGCCATGTTTCCAGAAGGATACAAAGTATGTAATTATTTTAACATGTACAGGACACTTTTTATTTCTGTCTAAAAATTATTTTCTTGACATTCCTGATTTTCATTTGTCACTTCTTCCAGGTATTGCCCCCACCAGCAGGCTATGTGCCCATCCGCACCCCTGCACGCAAGTTAGCCGCCACTCCCACCCCCATCGGAGGAATGACTGGCTTCCACATGCAAACGGAGGACAGATCTATGAAACAAGTCAATGACCAGCCCTCTGGAAACCTGCCTTTCCTCAAGCCAGATGACATCCAGTACTTTGACAAACTTTTGGTGAGTCACATGCACCAGGGATGTCTCCTGTACAAAATTGGGATACTTTCAAAAAGAATTCGAAATGTTTTTATTATGTTAATTTAAGTGAAAATAATAGGAATAAACAAAAATAAAATATGAAATAAAATATCATCTCTGTTTGCAGGTTGAAGTTGATGAGTCCACCCTCAGTCCAGAAGAACAGAAGGAGCGCAAGATCATGAAGCTTCTTCTGAAGATCAAGAATGGCACACCTCCCATGAGAAAGGTCAGTATCCGTTCTCAAACTTTGTTGACTAACATGTAATTTTGCAAATATGGTCTCTAACCAGCACTCTCATTTCAGGCTGCTCTTCGTCAAATCACAGATAAGGCCAGAGAGTTTGGTGCAGGACCCCTATTTAACCAGATCCTGCCACTGCTGATGTCCCCTACACTGGAGGACCAAGAGCGTCATCTCTTGGTGAAAGTCATTGATCGTATTCTCTACAAACTTGACGACTTGGTTCGACCATATGTCCACAAGGTAAGTTACCTGTAAGCATCAATTTTAAAATATGAGATGAGAAATGTATTACTTTTCTTTCCTAACTTGCCTGTATGTTCTTGCAGATTCTTGTGGTGATTGAGCCTTTGCTGATTGATGAAGATTACTATGCTAGAGTAGAGGGTAGAGAGATCATTTCCAACTTGGCAAAGGTAAGATGGTTGACTTAAATAGCAGATATCATCTTTGGTTGATAACAGTATTGCATTGTTAACCGATCTTGATTTAATGATTTAATCAAATCTATATTTCTTTCACAGGCTGCCGGTCTGGCCACCATGATCTCCACCATGAGGCCTGACATTGACAACATGGACGAGTATGTGAGAAATACGACAGCTCGTGCTTTTGCCGTCGTGGCGTCTGCCCTGGGCATTCCATCTCTCCTGCCTTTCCTCAAGGCTGTTTGCAAGAGTAAGAAATCCTGGCAGGCTCGTCACACAGGCATCAAGATCGTACAGCAGATTGCTATTCTCATGGGCTGTGCTATCCTGCCCCATCTCCGAAGCTTGGTGGAGATTATCGAGCATGGTTAGTATAGGTGGTCTATATGTGGGTGGACCAAAATTCTTTAACATTGTCTGTTATATGGGCCAGTCTCAATGCGTTGTTTTTCCCTCAGGTCTCGTGGATGAGCAGCAGAAAGTGCGAACCATCAGTGCTCTGGCTATCGCTGCCCTGGCTGAAGCTGCTACGCCATACGGTATCGAGTCATTTGATTCTGTGCTGAAACCTCTTTGGAAAGGTATCAGGCAACACAGAGGCAAGGTGAGCATGTATTTTGATAAATTTATTCGATTTTTATTTGTACACAACCGCAAGTTTGCTTTCAAACTTATTTTTTTCTCAACTGTAGTAAATGTTTTTAACACTATTATTTGTCTTCTCAGGGTCTTGCTGCCTTCTTGAAAGCTATTGGATACTTGATTCCTCTTATGGATGCTGAATATGCCAACTATTACACCAGAGAAGTGATGCTTATCCTCATCCGAGAGTTCCAGTCTCCTGACGAGGAGATGAAGAAGATTGTCCTCAAGGTGCTTCCTTCTCAAAAAATATTGAGTAGCTTGAAAAACAAGATCTTCCTGAACATTTTAGGCTAACCTTTTTTCTTATATATTGTAGGTGGTGAAGCAGTGCTGTGGCACTGATGGTGTGGAAGCCAATTACATTAAAACAGAGATCTTGCCCCCATTCTTTAAACATTTCTGGCAGCACCGAATGGCGTTGGATAGGCGCAACTACAGACAGGTTGGTGAGATCATCACCTAATTAGGAGTAACTAACCATGATCAATATATGTTTAACTTTTATTTGTCGTTATCCACTTTACAGTTAGTGGACACTACAGTGGAGCTGGCCAATAAGGTAGGCGCAGCTGAGATTATCTCCCGTATCGTGGATGACTTGAAGGATGAAGCTGAGCAGTACAGAAAGATGGTGATGGAAACTATTGAGAAAATCATGGGCAACCTTGGTGCTGCTGACATCGATCACAAACTGGAGGAGCAGCTTATTGATGGTATCCTGTACGCCTTTCAAGAACAGACCACTGAGGTGAGTGTCAGACTTTGCTGCACTTATTAAACAATCCTACTCTGTTCTTATTTATAGTTATAATACTTATAATTTTGCCTGTATCTCCAGGACTCTGTGATGCTGAATGGCTTCGGTACAGTGGTGAATGCTCTGGGTAAGAGAGTTAAACCATACTTGCCTCAGATCTGCGGTACAGTGCTGTGGCGTCTCAACAACAAATCCGCAAAGGTCCGTCAACAGGCTGCTGACCTAATTTCTCGCACAGCGGTGGTCATGAAGACTTGCCAAGAGGTGAGGGAAGCCCTTATGTTCAAAATACTTGTAATGGTTAAATGAAACTACTTATAGTGCTTAATAATATATATCCTGCTATGACATTTCCCTTTAGGAAAAGCTCATGGGCCATTTGGGTGTGGTGTTGTATGAGTATCTGGGAGAAGAATACCCAGAAGTGTTGGGTAGCATTCTTGGAGCACTTAAAGCTATCGTCAATGTCATTGGTGAGTGTCAGCAAAAGCACTTTATAAGTTTTGCTTGCTAGCATTTATGCGGTAATCCAAATTATTAAACTGACCACAACGGTTGTTTTTAGTGGTCCACACAATTTTCATCCAGAGCAGCAAAAATCATTTTGAGGGGCTCATGTCATTGACCCAAAGATTAATGATTAGCTACAACAGTTAACTTAACTGTCACCGTCCCACAGGTGGGACGTTTGCCACTATATTTTTTAAACAATAATATCTTAGTAAATACCTTAAATAATATTGACAAACTATATATCATTTGAAAGCTTACAATCTCTAGTTTCCATATTTGGTGACTGATTTTCAAAATATATTACAGAGGAGCCATAATTTATCAATATAAAACAAGAATATTTTCATACTCATAAGGCGTGTTCAGACCTTTATTTTAAAATAGCAGTAAACATGAAAAATCATGAAAAAATGGTAGATACCTCAGTTTGTTTTCATGCCAAAAGTTCAAAAGATAGAATCCATTCAATTATTTTGGAAAAAAAAGGTCTGAAAAGTTTGAAATATCAAGAAAAAAATAATAAATTCACCATTTGTGACGTGGCAGCTAGCTATGACTTACATGCGTGTTCTTTGTATGTGTTTCTTAGAGGTTCAATTCATATCAAAATCTGCCAAACTTCCCATGCTACTTCTGAATAGGATCTCTACTTCAGAAATTGTATGAAAATTGTGAAAATAATGGTTCATATCACTCAAAACACGAATGGAAATGCAGGCGCCCTTATATGGGCAGTAATGGAGTCTGATTGTGCCCTAGTGAAAAAGTTTGGTACTGCGCTCAAACAAAATCTTACTGAAAGCTCATTTTTTGAGATATCAACCTAAAATTTGAAACACAACTTGTTCAGATTTTTGGCTTTGATCTTTCTGCCATTTTAGAGTAGCCCAGGTTTTGAAAATATATATTTTATGTAAAATATGAATAATTAATATTTTTACATTGTACATTTCCATAAACTCAAACTTCTATAACTTTTTTTCTGTTTCACTTTCTTAATTTATTTCACTTCTACAAAAATCTGCCAAATGTCTTCTTTAAAACAAGACCAATCATATGTCTATATTCCAAAGCATTCTTGAATTACAACCATTTAAGTTCGAAATGTGCATTTTCATGTCTATTCAAAAAAGGGGGGGTGACCGTTAACAGGTTAAACGTGTCAGCATTGTGGATGCACTTCACCGTGACTGTAGCAGTATTTAAAATGTGTTCAACTTAAATATCGAGAGGCAACTTGTCACTGAAAACACAATATCCTGAACAGCAGACCAAGTTCAGTTACCCAAATATTTACAACAATTAAGTATTGGTTTTTGGCTAAATGGAAACTTTAAAGGGTTAGTTCACCCAAAAATGAAAATGATGTAATTATGACTCACCCTCATGTCGTTCCAAGCCCAAAAGACCTCCGTTCATCTTCCGAACACAGTTTAAGATATTTTAGATTTAGTCCGAGAGCTTTCTGTCCCGCCACAACAGAACCAGAAGACCAAAATTCATAGTTTTTGTTATTTTTGGACTAAAATGTATTTTCGATGCTTCAAAACATTCTAACTAACTCACTGATGTCACATTGACTACTTTGATGTCTTAATTTTCCATTCTGGACAAGAACAGTATATCATATGCATTTTCAATGGAGGGACAGAAAGGTAGACTAAATCTAAAATATCTTAAACTGTGTTCCAAAGATGAATGGAGGTCTTTCGGGCTTGGGACGACATATGGGTTTTTCATTTTTGGGTGAACTAACCCTTTAATTCATATTTGGTTAAATTTATTCTGGTGCATCACATGTTGTTTTAATCAGTGTTTAATAAATGTGAATATTTTTTTCTACAATTTTCTTTTGAATTTGAATAAATGTTTAAATGTTCTGTTCTCAGGTATGCACAAGATGACCCCACCTATCAAAGACCTGCTTCCACGTTTGACTCCCATCTTGAAGAACAGACATGAGAAGGTGCAGGAGAACTGTATTGATCTAGTGGGCAGAATCGCTGACAGGTCAGTCCTATTGGTCTTCACAGAATTTAAGCTGTTTAACTTTTGAAAAATGTCAATAATGCCTCCTAAACGCATCTTATCCATTCCAGGGGTGCGGAGTATGTGTCTGCCAGGGAATGGATGCGTATCTGTTTTGAATTGTTGGAGTTGTTGAAAGCCCACAAGAAGGCCATTCGTAGAGCTACTGTCAACACATTCGGCTACATCGCCAAGGCCATTGGGTAAAATCCTTCTCTGATTATGCAGAATCTGACATTAGCGGTATGAAAATGTTGGATTTTAATTTGTCCTGTTCTTAATTTTCTAGTCCTCATGATGTGCTGGCCACGCTGCTCAACAATCTGAAGGTGCAGGAGCGTCAGAACCGTGTGTGCACAACGGTAGCCATCGCTATCGTGGCTGAGACGTGTTCGCCATTCACCGTGCTTCCTGCATTGATGAACGAGTACCGTGTTCCTGAGCTTAATGTTCAGAACGGTGTCCTGAAGTCTCTGTCTTTCCTGTTTGAGTACATTGGTGAAATGGGCAAGGATTATATCTATGCTGTCACACCTCTGTTGGAGGACGCTTTGATGGATAGGTAAGGAAGTAGATTATTTCATTTCACAAGACTGTTGCATGCAGATTGTTTTCAATAGTACTCTAACCTCCTGCATTTCTGCTCTCGGTCGCAGGGATCTCGTACACAGGCAAACAGCCAGTGCTGTGGTGCAGCATATGTCTCTTGGAGTGTATGGCTTTGGCTGTGAAGATTCTCTCAATCATTTGCTCAACTATGTTTGGCCCAATGTCTTCGAAACGTCTCCGCATGTCATCCAAGCTGTAATGGGGGCCCTCGAAGGTCTGCGGGTGGCGATTGGACCCTGCCGCATGCTGCAGTATTGCTTACAGGTACGTTTTACTTCCAACATGGAACACCAAACTTGTTTGGTGTTTTTCCATTGAGTTATAAAGACTTGTCTAATGGCGCAATGGTTTTTCTCCCTCAATAGGGTTTGTTCCATCCTGCTCGTAAAGTGCGTGATGTATATTGGAAGATCTACAACTCCATCTATATCGGCTCCCAGGACGCACTGATCGCACATTATCCTCTTGTCTTCAACGACGAGAAGAACTCGTTTGTTCGCTACGAGCTGGATTACTTCATGTGAATGTCTACCCTTACATGTGCACTCTCTCTCTCTCCTCCTATATCTGTCTAGTTCATGGTTTATAGGACTTGGTCCATTTTTTTATGTTCTCTGGTAGATTGAAACCAGTACCACAGATTACGTGGTCTAAAATTTATTTCTTATTAAAGAACAGAAAAATGTCGAAAAAAAAAATCTGTTAAATGTGTCGCTTTTAGATCTTTGGATTAGACGTTTCTGTTTTTACGGCGTGGCAGCAAGCACAGTGACAGTAAACGTAGTAGCAGAGTTTCTGAGGAATGTGATTCATGTCTTTTAACTTGAGACTTGTGCTGGTCTGTCAAGTTCATTCTTGCTCAGTCACATCTGTTCTTATTATAATGTTGCTTAGTTTGGCTGAATAAACGTTTGTGTATTAAAAGTGATTGAGCTCCTCTGTGATGTTTTTAATGGGTTAGCACAACCAAATTAAATCTTGATTTGATTTTTTTTTTTTTTTTTTAAATCCTTTTCAAATGTTGTTTGAACAAGTTTCATCACCTGCCAAATTTCAACTGGCAAAGCCATTGCTAACATTTGAATTTGGAAATCAAATCTGATTGGACTGCAGTGTGAACTGGCTTTTTTATTTCTAGATTTTACCTGTAGCGAAATACTTATCGCAAGACATTTTAAAACTAAATCATGTTTAATAAAAAAACGTACCATTTATTTTTTTTTGTACAACTTTTATTTTGCCATTTTCTTGTGGAAGGATCATGGTTAAACGCATCAGTTATGTGAGGATTTGTTTATTTCCCATATTCTAACTTAGACAAAACAGCAGACAGGGAGAGAAGATTGTCATTTGTGGTTCTGCACAAACATGAGGGTCCTGGATTTTCTCAGTCAGAAACAATGTGAGGCTACTCCAGTAGAGAATTTCAGATATTATCGGTGTTATGTCCACCCTTTTTGATAACATCTGCTCTTTTCCATGAAATTGTAAGCAATCGGTTTATCATGGACTGCACTATATGATTGAGCTGATCTTGACTGAAAATATTCTCCTCAACCCTTTTCTTGAACAATGGTCGTTGGCTGCTGAGTTAAAATAAAAGATTGATTTGGATGTCTTTACCTGGCAGACTGCATGTTCATTCATGAAAACTATGTTTGATCATAGTTTTCAATAAATATTACAATGTTATAGGAAATAATTTAATTTCACTACTAGATCCTTCAGTAAATGCGTTTCTACACAAGCAACAGCTACTTCCTGTGCTCTCCTGACCTGTCAGGCCAAACTCCCATGCCTCTTTAAATATAGCCTCTGTATCAGTCAGAAACACATGGAATCTGTTAGGTGATGTCATCCAGCGGAGCACAAACAAACACTGATATTTGCTTCCAGTGACATTGAGGGCAAGTTCCTGTTTTTCATTCTTTGAAGAATGTAGTGCTCATTTATTAACTGCACAGGTAACGATACAAACAGAACTTAATCAAAACAAAAAGTTAGAAATTCTTATCACACAAGTGTTCAGCTTTTAAATTACAAACTTCCTGAAAGTCAGGTACCTTAATATGTAATTTGTGTTTTAATTACTGACAACAATTTGAATTTCATATAGTTATTATTATTATTATTTCTTTAATAGGAACAATGCTCTTTCATCAACAGTCAAACACTGTAAATGATCCAGAGTTAGCCCCTCAAGCTAATTTTCATCTGTTGCCCCTTTCCAGATTTTAAAAGGCAACCTAAAATATAAACATGAATCATGATTGGTAGGTTATCAGATATACAAATCCAAATTACCCATATTAAGAAACGTGTATCACAAAAAATTGACAAAATATCAAATTACTTAAAGTAACGCTGCTAGGGATAATAATGACAGTATTATCAAAATAACAATAATTTACATAGTATTTCAAATATGATTTGCTTTTAGCCATTTCTTTAATTTAAATTAATGGCTCTAAGTCTTACTGAAAAGACTAATCGTCCGAAAGTTGTAACGTTACACCAAAACTGTACAATACAGTCTCCTAGTAATTGTTCTGCCATTAGTATCCTTTTGCATCATAAACTAACATTATGGGGGAGGTGCATAACCATTTAAATCTTTAAAAATCAAGCAAGAATCAACAAAATGTGTAATATTATCGAAACTTAATACATTTTGTTGCAATGATGAAAACGAATCGGTTACCTAACGTAACCTCGGTTCTCTCTAGATGAGCTAGCTTACGCTACGGGAAAGATTAATCTTTTCTGAGAAGTTGAAGCCAAAAAAGTATCCTATAATTTGTATTCATTGTCAAGCAGACCATGAGCGGGCTAGCTAGCAGCTCATTGGTTCGCTCACAGGGAACTGCTACAGCGTATGGGAGAGCTGGGCTAAACTCGCGGCCAATGAGAAATGAGTTTATGGGCCTTGTAAAAGAGCGGGCAGAGGGGAGGGTCGTGGGCGCGCTTATGCACTCTGGACACTCGAGCGAGTTGTGTCTGTCCGCTTTGTGGAAGTGGGCTCTGAGAGATACACGGGACATGTGGTGCTTGTGTGTATGGATGAACACAGGGTTGTGGGCACGTGTTTTCACAAAAGGCTTTTATGCTTTTTTTAGCTATTTCTCTGGATCGCCGTGAAAACGATGCTTTGGCGCCCGCAAGCGGGCAGGGAGACCAGCTTGTTTGTGACGGGGAACACTGCTGTAGTAGCCAGAGGATCGGGGACTAACAGAGGGCGAATCTTTAACGGCGGTTCAGCCGCAGCGGGAGAGAGCCGTCGTTTTCCCAGCAGCGCTAGGCAGACTTCGGCTGATCGGGCCTCAGCGCAATCTTGAGTCGAGGGCCCCGGGGAGGCGGGTGTCTGTGGCGGATCTCAGAGCGAGTGCGGTCGCCCTGTCTGCGCTGAGAGGACCGACCCTGCTGAGAAGGGCCCTAGGGTGGGTCTCGTGCATGAGGCTGGTCACGTGAACGGCCTGCAGAAGAGCTAGCGCGGCAGAAAAAGATTTATGGACTAGGTGGCTTTCTGAACTTCGGAGAAACGGACGACGATGCCCGTGACAGCGGACCCGAAGAGGCCAGTCTGAGAAAAACAGCGCGCTCAGAGTCTCCCATGTCTGTTTCAAGTCGTCGGATGTCGCTAGCTTGCAGGACGGCTGAAGGTGGCGAAGACGGTCGGCTTCTACAGAGTCCTAGACGCTCGTTATAGATGCCTTCTCGCCGGCTTCTTCTCGAACAGCTGATGCGCGTTGCTCGCTGAAATATCAAAAATTCACCTTAACTGCTTTTTCGGGGCGGGCTGGCTATTTATACACTCGAGCCACGCCCATTTTGGCGGGCTATGACGCAATGAGAGCTGTCCGCTTCTCATTGGCCGCGAGTTCAGCCCAGCTCTCCCATACGCTGTAGCAGTTCTCTGTGAGCGAACCAATGAGCTGCTAGCTAGCCCGCTCATGGTCTGCTGCAATTAAACTGCGTTGACAATGGATACAAATTATAGGAAAATGTTTTGGCTTCAACTTCTCCGAAAAGATTAATCTTTCCCTTGCGTAAGCTAAGCTACAAAGCTAGCTTTACGCAATACGAGAGAACCTCTCGTAAGAGAACTGTCGAACGGGCTCCAACTGTTAGTCCTCCCATCAAGATTCAGTTGATTTTAAAATTGTAAAAAATGTAAACTAGTAAAGCAATATGCAATGTGACAAAATACCATAGAATTCATAAAAGGTTTTGCTGCCTTAAATATGGTCCTATATGCCTAAATCTGGCCAAATTAAATTTAATAATATTGTCTACCTTTTTAGTATGCTTTTGAAAAGACAGCTGAGAATCTAAAATGACTACTAAATATTTAAAATCAGAAATGGTTTTCTCCTTTAACAGATACATCAGGATGAGGAATCATACAATCAGTTTTGCTTATATTAAACTGTAAATGTGAATCACTACCAATCAGAAACATGGACCAATGCCTCAGTTAAATAATTTGCTGCTTGTTGTTTGTTTTTATTTAGCGTGCACATAAATAACTGTCATCAGCATACATTTGAATATGAACAGAAAGACAGACTAAAGGCAAGTCATTAATATATAAACTGAACAGGATAGGGCCCAAAATTGAACCTTGAGGAACTCCAATAGAGTTTAGATATGTTGATTAACTATTACCAACACGGACACTTTCCCTCCTATATGAAAAGTATGAGTTCATTCATTTAATAGCTTCAACAGACTAGTTAAAAAGTGTGAAATTTGAAAGGAGTTTAAAAGGCTACATCATGGTTCACAGTATCAATGAACCAAATGTTATTTAAACAGGTCTATATCATAGCATACCCTTCTTATCTGATCTAAAAAAAACATCCATATTCACCCAAAAGATGAGAATGAGATAGATAGCTGTATTCGATGCATAGATAGATGAAACCAGAAGACTTTGCTTTGAAAAGTTCTGATTCATTGGAGCAAATCGGTTCGTAGGACAGTTCAGGCTCACTAAAACGATTCACAAACGTTGGAGTCATCACTCACTGTGATCGAATCATTAAAAAAACAGATTCACTAGAATGATTCATTCGTTCGTCAGACTAGCGAGGGCATCAGTGAGGCGATGATGTGGCCCCTCGGAAGAACTGACAATCCTGTGCCTCAGATACAGAGAAGAAACGAAATTGCAAAACCTACTATGGTGACGGAATAGTTCATGAATATTAATCCGATTTGGTGACGTTACTTCCTACTGTCCCTGAAGCATCCAGTCATTTATATTAATTAATATTCATGAAACAGCTAGTTAATTTATAAATCCGATCTAGGATGTGTTAATTGGCCATCTCAACAGCGCCCACTTTGCCTCTCAGCCAATCGGTCCTTTATTAATATTCATAAGGCATGTCTTTGCCATAGTAGGATCTCGAAAATAGAAAGGGGAAGCATACAAAAAAACGCTGACTTCCTGTATTTTCTTTAAACGAATGAATACATAACGCACAGCATAAGCGAGTGGGATATATCTGAAATCGGTATTGCTGTTGTTGCCACTGCTGTAAATGCGGATTGTTTACAGCAGCCCTCGCATCCTTTCCTCCCTCCCCTTTTCCTCTTTCCCGGAGCGCCGGAGCGCTGGTGGTGAGGCAGCGGCCACAGCTGCTCCCGCTGACCGAAGATAGCGCCTGCAGACCCGGCCACGGCCGTCACATCACCCCGGGCCCCTGGAGGGTGCGACCCACAGCAAAGCAGGAAGCAAGCTTTTGATGCCACATCATTGTGCAGCACCAGCCGCTTGTAAAAAAGCGAACAGGCTCCTCTGGATTTGATAAATCGTCACCTTTAGGTCTCTTTAGGAGTTTGGATGTGCTGTCTCACATGATATGGCTGTTCTTAAACTAGTCGACCAGGTAATTTCACGTTTTTTTTAATTAACTATATATGCATAATGAACAGTTCAATTGCAGGATGTCATGTAGCATCTAAGTGAGGGGTTTGCAAATTGCACATGATTAAATGTATTTTTCAATGAATGCATAAAATACATAATGTGTGATGATGCTCCATAATATGGAGCATGGAGCATATTTTGCTTGCTACACAGGATGAGTGCAGCACATGCATTGCGTGAGCCATATAAAAAGGATTTTGACAATTTACTGAAACGACATTATTTTTGTTGGAAGATTGAGGTCTTCCTTGACAGTAAAATACGGCAACATCCTGAGCAATTCGTGCAAGTCGTTGTTCACATTTATTGCATAACCTGTGTAAGGAAATGATCTGCTTTCATCTAGAACAAACTTCCTGCTGTAGTGTGCTGTGATGCTGATGTTGAAATGGCTCTCTTAATCTGCTCTCCGATCCAGGTTTTGAGAAAAAAAAAAAAAAATCATTAGATCATTATCAGCACACCAAGTCAGTTTTCTGTTTTAACTAGTGTAATTTGAATATACCAATATGGGTGAGCTCCACCCAGCTAAAGCTCAGATAGTCAAGTTCAGTTCCTTATTGTCATTAATATCACTGTTCACTGGATCTTTTATTGTGATAGTAGCAGTAATTTAGGTTCCAACAATGCTTTGTTTTTTGCAGCCTTGTTCGTAAACACTGAATTCATTGTCATCTGATTTTTATCTGCGATATGTTGAATACTGCTGCTATATTTATGTAAGTTATATTACACACTTACATGTTACATATTTTGAGACTAGTTTGTTAGTTTTTCATGTGTCATTTGGTGGGCAAAAAGTGAGAAGATTTAGTTTTTGTGTAGAGAAGATCTATTTCCCTAACGGTCATGTGATGTGCTTCTAGACACTTGCAAATGTTCTAGGAAGTTGTCCTTGCAACAAGTAACTTGATGGCTATTAGGGGCCCCATGGACTTCATGTCAAGGTCAAGAAGATTTTTCAGCTGTGAGAATGTAGAGACTTAATCTAAGTGTGCACTAAATCTTTTGCCACAGAAAATAACAACAGCTTGACTTGTCCTTCAAATGTTCTAAAAATTGTGTGTATAGTAATGCATGTACAAAAAGGGTATGTGATTCCAGAGGGTTTAAAAGCAGAAGAGTTAGGATCTTTTACAAAAGGCAGTTGAGATATTAATTGTTCTATTTTTTTACATTCCCCTTTATTAAAAAATGTGCTTTCTAAAGACTGGTCAAAAATCTTGGCATTAATTGCAGTAATTTTATACATTTATTTTTCGAAAATAAATAAAATATTTTTTGGGAAAAAGTAATGTGCTAATTGCCGATATGTACTCAATAGCAAGCTTAATAACAAGTAATTATTTTGCAGAAAATATTTTAATAGTTTGTTCAAGTAGGCTATAATGATGATTTAAAGGCCAACTGTTTAATTTTTGAAACCTTTTTTTATTTAGTTGTCTTAATAATATTTAGTATTTTCCTCACACTGTAAATTGATTTTTAATTTATACATGAACATATGTTGCCTTTATATTTATCAATGAGTTCCCTCACAAGGGTATCATTGTAATTGGGTCCTTAGTATGAAAAAGTTTGAAAACTCTTGGCCGAAATCAATCTTTAGTGGTGGATAGGATTGGATAATACTTTTAACACATTTAGATTTCACATAGATTTAGCAGACTGCATTTGAACCAAAGAGGCTTACAAATGAGGACCATATCAAATGTAGAATGTTGTAAAGTTGTTTAAGTCTTGTGGCACTGTATTCAAACTGTATTTTAACATTCATTCTGGCACAGTGCCTTGGTAATTGACACCATGCCCCAGAAAGTTTAACTTGCATTAAACCCATGACATTTATTTAGAAAGTTAATATGTGACACCAAGTGTTCGGAGCATCAGTAATGTTTACAGTCATTTTGGTCTTGTGTAAAGTTTGATTTCCATACTTTGGCCCAAAGAGGAAAGGAACAGGAAGTTGTTGAATCTCAACATTCCCTTCTCATGTTTTTTTTTTTTTTTTTTGTAGTCTCAGAGGGTTAGGCTACATGACACAAGTTTAGAGAGCCAGAGAGAGAGGAAATAGAGGATAGTGTGTTTACTACTTATACATCATTAGTGCTTAAGACTTTTGATGGTTCTGTTATGGTCTTCATGACATAAATAGTTTTAGTTTTATTTTTACACTTTATTGTGACATACATCTAAGTGTTGTACATCTGAGTTTGCAGTTAAATGTAAGAAAATATTGGAGAAGTCACCAAAAAGAAGTCTGTTGTTGTTTCACTGGAAGATCAAGTTTTATAAAAAATTACCCCCCAAAACATTAAAAAAAATTAAACCTATGCATGGAGGAATTGTTCATAGATAGATTGATTGAATTTCCATTTCATGCTGTGACTTTACACATCTGGAACTGGTCACAAGGAACTAGATTTCAGTATCGCTGTTCATTTAAAATGAGACATCAGCAGTTCCTCATTTCTGCTGTTTTGAAGAAGAACCTGCAGTGTCAAAAGTGGAGAAACCGAGAAACCTCAGCCTTCATTGGCTATTGGGCGTAGAGGTAGATGATGGGAACGAGGAGTTGGGGGAAGGCTGTGTAGCCAAATGCATGTCAACAATGGCTTCAGTGTTGGAGTGTTTGGCTTTGGCATGGATGGTGCTGGGAGGTCGGGGAATGTCCTCATTTGTGATGAGCCTCGTCCAGATTGTGCGCTTGTGCCAGCGCTCAGCAATCTCGTCCTGAAGCTTTGCGGTGCCACAACACAGACAGCTCTGTTGTCACCAGCTGTTGTGTTCTCTTTCAAAGGAAAGACAAGATGTGTGCTTGTGTATGTGATCAAGACAGAGGCAACATCTCATAGTGAAGAGAATTCAACATTGTGTTCTCTTCTCATAGATTCAATGCTCTCATAAAAGAGCTAAAGCAGGATGGCCCGGTGCCAGCGTGAGAGAGTTTGGGCCAGTGCTGTGTTGTAAAACTTGCTTATTTGTTGATCTTGGGCATGTGTTTTTATGTCTTGCAAACTTAAATATTTTGTGTTTCGAATTCTTCTGATTGAAATGTCACCAAGAGAAGACATTTTGGGGTTTCAATGGTGGTCTAATAGTTATTAATGGGTATGGTTCTTTATATAATATCCTCTTAGAAAGTACATTTGCTTTCATCTCTCAGGAGATGTTTCAGCTTGGTCTCAGATAAAAAAAAAATTGTGAGGAATGAAAATAGAAACTGAATTGATACAAAAGCTTAACCTGCAGTAAATGTGAGGTCCCATTTATTGTTATTTGGACAGTTTTCACAGGCGATATACAGTGCATATACTGTATAAATGTGTTTGTATACTGTAAAATTGTATATGAATATATATATATATATATATTAATATTATACAATTCATGAAAAGAAAAATGCATGAAATTATTCCTTTATGAATTTTTTTTAGAGAGCTGAATAGCTTAAAATGACTAACAGAAATGACTAATGGCTTGTGGCGAATTGGCCCTGCAGAGATCTTTTTTTTTTATGGATGATTAAATGAGTTTGAAGTGAGTGGGTGTTAGATGGCCTGTTTCTGCAGCTGAAAATAGAGCAGATCTCAACAACACATCTCCTGTTGTCTCTACACTGAGAGTTTGTTTGCCCGCGTGTATGATAAAGAACAATTCAAAGAGTGAAAGAAGCTTTTTGTTTGAAACATATTTTGACAAAATGTATTAATATTTTTTCATTAAACATAACTTTTCTTTACAAAAAGCCATAATGTTACTCCATCACAGCTATCAGTTCATATACTGGGGTTTGCGATGTATGCTGATATACTGGTAAGAGATTAAAAGTTGACACAATCCTCATCCTTAGTGTTGACTGTTGAGTCCTGAAACACCATGTGTGTTAATTTACATGTTGGCTTTACTGCATGTGTCCTGTTGTATAGCGGAAGTGAAAATGCTTTCCACGCTTCCTCTGTCACTTCTGAGAAGGTGAAAAAAAAAAGCAACAGGAAGTGAGATGTGGGGGTTATTGCAGATAGATTAGAGACGTATAGATGCAGCCAAGTTTGGCTCAAACCACCTCTCATCTCTTATCCCACGCATGCGTCAGATTATCATTGTGCTTCCAGTAATGTTTGGAACTTGGCACTTCCAGAAAATAGCTGGAAAATACAGTTTATAAATATATTTGGGTTTAGTCTTTAGTCTCTCTTCATAAACAAGGACTGAATATGATAATTATGTAAAGGAAACATGACTTAAATGCTGTGTGTGGTGCAGAGCTTCCTTTGGGGCTCTTTGGGTCCTGATTTGGCCTCCCTGTAATGACGCTATTTTATGGTAATGGTGAGACTGTGTGGTTTCAAAGCCCACTTGTCTGGTTTGCGCGTTTGAAGGCCAAACGGATTTGAAGACCATAACTGATTCTGAATGACAAACTTTTCAGTTATTTCAAACATTGGGTTTGTGTCATTAACACAAAAATAATCTAGATTACCACTTTTTCTTGAAAAAAATGCAACACTTATCATTGCGTAACTTGCTGCCACAATGTAATGGTGGTTGTTGGTTGTTGTATGATTCGAAGCAGTTCTGAGTGGTTTTTAGTGTGTTCCTATGTGGTTGCTGGGGGCATTAGTAGGCGGTGTCTTTGGGTGTTATGGGTGGTTTCTTGCATTTAGGATTTGTTTAAATTTGTAACCATAAAGGTCACAAGGATGGTCAGTCTATTGGCAGGACTAGTGTCGCAAAATAGGAATCGTCTATCGTATATAGTGAATAATATAGCAACCGAGTTAATTTCAAACCAAGGATTCATGATTTTATTCTTTAATAACATCATGTTTAAATAATGTCTTATTTTTCACAGCCACCCCTCATCCAAGCCATCTTTAATGGAGACCCCGATGAGATTCGTATGCTCATATGCAAATCTGAAGACATCAATGCACTGGTATGAATCTGTTTCCTCTATTATTTTTTCACTATATCTCATCTCTTTGTTCCCTGCAGCACAATAGCTGAGAAACTCAATGGAAAACAGCCAGAGATTTATATACAGTTGTCTCCGTAAAGGCGACAGGACACAAAACAGTTTTCAAGGCCATTCTTTTTCCAGATTATTTATTTATTCTGCTTGTCTGTCTGTGTCCGCCCTAATGGCTCCAGCAAGAATTAGCTCGCCGTCCGAAAGTTTCTTTAAAGAGCCGCTGGACTAAAGTCATGATTTTAGACTGCATGGGCAAACAGATTCAGACAATACACACGTTGAGATGTCACCACCACAAGTGTGTGAGCACATTAGTACACACACTGACATCCCCTTTAGTGATTGAAGAGAGCCAGTCAATGCTTCTTTGTTGTGGATCCCTTGCATTGACCCCTCACTCAGCATATTCATTTTAGAAGTGATCAAGGCTCTGCCCAATTTTCTGTGAAAGCTTTGCAGTCCACAATAAGACTTTTGAAAATGTACAAAATTTTGAGCAGAATGTACTGTATAGGTCACATGAGTCTGGTTAGTATGAGTCTTTCTAGCGTTGATGTAGATTTCCAATTGAAACAGGAAGTCAGGGTAAGACACATATAATTGCTTATCCTTTTTTTTTAATAAGCCAGTAGCTTTTTGTTTATACCACAGCTTGCAAAATATGATGTGTGGCTTGCTCTTGCTATGTGGTTATAGATGATATTAGAGGGAAATTTTGTCCATTTTATTGGACACAAAAAACCTCTAAAATCTGTCTCTATCTTACACCTCTAAGTGCAAGATGCACTACCATTTAAACCAGGGGTGTCAAACTTAGGCCCCATCCACACTACTGCGTTTTCGTTTTAAAAACGGAGACCTTTTGCTATGTTTGCACCTACCGTCCAGACTAAAACAGAAAAAACTAAGACCTAAAACGGAGAAGTTTAGAAACGCTGCAGCTCCGTTTTGCGTTTTGAATCTCCGGAAGGCATTTTAGTGAAGAAGACGGGACAAACCGGAGGACTTTAGAAACAATGACGCAGAGGCTCATGCTCGGCTCTCTGACTGGATGTCATCAGTCATAATGTGTCCTTCCCTGATTTGTCAGCCACGAGCCACCATCATAGCCACCGTTTACTCCGGCACGCGCATGCCCAGTGTTGGTGAATGGTCACGTGACGTGATCCACGTTTTCAGTCGTTTTAATGTGGACGGAGATCAATTACACGGATAAAACGCTGGTCTGACCGGAGATCGTATTCGTTTTAATTCTGCGTTTTTAAATGAAAACACTAGTGTGGATGAGGCCTTAGTTCTTAGAGGGTCATCGTCCTGCAGAGTTTAGGCCCAACCCTAATTAAACACACATGGACCAGCTAATCAAGGTCTTCAAGATGACTAGAAACCAGTAAATAAAAACAGTAAAGACATCTATGATGCCTTAAAAAATATTTTTTTTTAAAAGTGTTCTTTTGAACTTTTCATTTCATTCATTAAAAAATCCATTCATTAAAGCAGCACAACCGTTTTTCAAAAACTATTTTAATAATAATAATGAAAAATAATAAGATATGTTTCTTGAGCACCAAATCAGCATTTTAGAATGATTTCTGAAGGATTTTGAATACTGTTGTAATGGCTGAAAATCCAGCTTTGCCATCACAGGAAGAAATTAGTTTAAAATATATTGAAACAGTCATTTTAAATTGTAATAATATCTCTCAATATAATTTTTTTTAAACTTTATTTTTGATTGGAAAAATGCAGCCTTGGTGATCATTGGACATAAGAGAAGAGACTTCTTTCAGAAACATTAAAAAATCATACAGACCCTAAATGTGTATCAACTTTTGAGAATAGAGCATATACAGTAGAGAGGTTAAAAGCTTACAGACATGTGGAAAAAGTAACAAAACTTTGATTTGATTTTTCATCTTCCCACTTTTTTCCGATGTGTCTCACTCTGTTTTCGTTTGTTTGTTTTTCAATCTCTCTCAGGACCCTGATAAGCGTGCTCCCCTTCATGCAGCAGCCTTCCTCGGAGATGCTGAGATCACAGATCTCCTCATTGTGTCAGGTAGAGCTGCTATTTTTCTCTCTCCCTCCTTTCATTCCCCACCTCCCTTCCATTGTAGCTTTACAGCATCTCATATAAGATAAATGCATGTTCAAAACCAATAAAGAATAGTTTACCCAAAAGGAAAAATGATCTGATCAATTACGTGCATCTTTCTAAACCTGTGTCTTTTATTACTATTCTATATGTAAATGATTTAAATATTTGGGTGGACTATTCCTAAATCCAGCGAATCTTTATTATAATTATTGTTTAATGTGTCTTGTACTACTTCATTTTAGGGGCTCGGGTCAATGCCAAAGACAACATGTGGTTGACTCCACTCCACAGGGCAGTGGCATCACGTAGCGAGGTGGGCTTAGTTTTTAAACACGCAAAAACATGTTTGAATGAGAAACAGCTCCTGTCCGATGTCACGCGCCAGGATGCCTTTAAAACAATGCTATTCGTATGCAGCAACTCTTGTGTGATTTAGAAAGGGTTTTTTTTCCCAAGCCTGGATGCTGTTTGGTCAAAATACTTCTACAGCTGTGCTAAAGTTCACAATATAGTTTAATACAGTTGTCAACAATCGTTTTCTTTTGTACAAATCTAGGAGGCCGTTCGCGTGTTGATCCGTCATTCTGCCGATGTTAATGCACGGGACAAGAACTGGCAGACTCCGCTGCATGTCGCATCCGCCAACAAGGCCCTGCGCTGTGCTGAAGTCATCATCCCGCTTCTGAGCAGCGTCAATGTTTCAGATCGCGGGGGACGCACCGCCCTACACCACGCTGCCCTCAATGGACACACGGAGGTATTGCAAGTTGAGACTAAATATTTTTGGTTAATTCATTGCAATACAGAATTAGATCATATTTTATTTTGGGACAGTCTAACGCAATACGTGTTGCAAGTCCAAAGGACTAAGGCAGTGACTCTCCAAGTGGGCAAATAAGTGTACTTCAAGTTAATTTTATTAAGTATACTTAAGTAAAGCTTATGTATTAAGTATACTAATATCAATGTACTAAATGTATATTACTTTATATATTAGTAATACGACTTGGGACTAAATTGGCCCACTTTTTAGTGTATAAAAGTATATTTTAAACTTTGAGTACACAACTAGTTTACATCTTAAGTTTTTCAATTATACCGCAAATATACTACAAGTAAACATATACTGTAGGTAATGGTATACTGATAGTTTACTAGTCATATACGTGTTGCACATTTTTAGTTTGATAGTTTAATACTGCAAATATGCTTGCAAGTTTTCTTTAAGTGAACATAACACCATCCTTATAGTTTACCATTGTATATATTCTTGCACTTTAACTATAGTACTATGTTCCTAAATAGGTATTCTACACCCAAATGGGTGTTTAATGTTTGATGATCGCATTTGATGATTTTCGTAAGCAATCTTTTTGCTTTAAAAAGTATTTAGTAGGCTATACTCAATCAAGAGTAAACACAACTACAAACAAAGTATACTTTTAATGATATTTCGATCAAAATATTGAGAATTGGCCAAATAATACTTATACCTAGCATACCTAGGCTAAATGCAATTTTAAGTATATTTCTGAGAAGTACATAACAAATTCACAAGGATGCTGCTAATTACTTCCCACACTGCATTGTCAACACAGAGTGAAATTTCTTAAGCTCTCAACAATGCAGAATGGTTTAGAAAGTCATTAATATAAATTGTGACACAAACACGCAGCACACAATAAGAGCTTCAGGAGACCCATAATTACTGGTGCATTATTGGCTCATGCTTTATAAATTCTCTCCTCCATTTCTCCATCTCAGTCTTGTAACTGTTATTCAATTTCCTTTCTCTCTATCTTCAGATGGTTAGCCTTCTCTTGGCCAAGGGTGCCAACATCAACGCCTTTGATAAGAAAGACTGCCGTGCACTGCACTGGGCAGCGTATATGGGTGAGGGAACGGTCCTATAAAAACTGTGACATGTATGCCCTTGTTTTCATTTGGGACACAAAAGGAGGTGTTCATGCTGCTCTCTTCCATTCAAATGTGAAAAATAGTTATGAGGGGGCTAATAAGCTCCAAAAACGGCATTAAATCAGCACTCAAGCAGTCCATACTACTTTCACACCAACTCTACAATAATAGTGTAATTGTTGTTAGAATGACAATTTTTTTTAAAACTTGTCCGAAGCAGAATACTCGGAGGTCTCCAAACATACACAGCAGCCTTTCATTACTGAACAAATCATTTAAGTGGATAACCCATTCATAAAGACATGGTAAGTCACTTGTTTAATTTTAGAATGAATCAGCCGTTTCGAACGAATCATTCGAATGCCACTTCAGATGCAGTTTCTGTGGCATCTATGCTGTGCAGAATTGCATTTTGTTGATACTGGTTTCATTCGATTGGTAATAGCCTATAGTGCCTAATTATTCTAATTGAATTTATTCATTTAATCTAAGAATTTGACTTAGAAGACGGGGTCAAAAAAGGTTCAAATATCGACCCTTTATAATTTCTGTTGCTGTTGTGAACTAAACACTGCTCAGTTTACTCTCACTGCAATATTATGAAAAGGAAAATCTTTGGGAGTCAGCTTTCCATGACAGGCCTAAACCAGCCAAGGAATCAGCATGAAAACACTCTCAACAAAATGTTGTCTAATTGTCGTTATTAACAAAATCCCCCCAAAATATTGAGATCTCATCACTAGTCAGAATCGCACACCCAAAAATGGTCTACATGTGCAATATTCTCAGTCTTCAAAAAGAAATTAGCACTTGCTAACATTGATATTGGTTTTCCCTCAAACAATGACATTGCTTCTGAAGACTTCTATTATGTTGTGCACAAGTCGTACGGACCAGTTTATGGAGCTTTTGGAAAACATCTCCTTCTGTGTTTCACAGAATCGGGTTTGAAAAGACATGATGGAGAGTAATTAATCTGCTATATCTGTGTTTATGTGTTCATGAGCTCGTCTCTATACTCTTGCAGGTCACTTAGATGTAGTGTGTTTATTGGTGAGTCAAGGGGCCGAGATCAGCTGCAAGGACAAGAGAGGATACACACCTCTACATGCTGCTGCGTCCAACGGTCAGATCGCTGTGGTGAAACATCTGCTTAGCCTGGCTGTAGAGGTACTTAGGATGCAAATAGATGCATAAAGGGAAGAGAGCATGGGGTCATTGGACTGACCATCACATTGTATGCTTCACTCGTAGATAGATGAAGCCAATGCGTTTGGGAACACAGCGCTGCATGTGGCGTGTTTTAATGGGCAGGACGCAGTGGTCAGCGAGCTGATCGACTATGGTGCTAATGTTTGTCAGCCAAATAACAAGGGCTTCACACCTCTCCACTTTGCTGCTGCGTCCACCCATGGTGCCCTGTGTCTGGAGTTCCTGGTCAACAGTGGAGCTGATGTCAACGTCCAGGTATACCCAACTTGGACTAAATATAGACAGACCGTTCATATTCTGTGTCCTGTATGCTAATAAACATTTTGTGATGCTTCCTCAGAGTCGAGATGGTAAAAGCCCTCTTCACCTGACGGCAGTGCACGGACGATTCACACGCTCCCAGACGCTCATCCAAAACGGTAAAGCTGTTTTTACCCGGCTGAAGGACAATTCACACAGCGTTTTTTGAGTTAAAAGAGACATGTTTTTTTATAAAATATGAACTTGGGCACCTCATTTTTAGAATGCCATGTCATGCACAAGAATCTGCAAAAAAACGCAAGGCAAGTTCAGCGGCCAAATACGTGTGTCTACCATGTGTTTACATAGAAAAAGAATGGAAAATTAGCTCAGAGGAATGGAAAACTTGTTCTGTCTAATGTCTGAATCTAAACTACCTTTGATTTTGATATCCACTGATTTGCAGGTACATTGTGAGTACAGTTGTGTTTTTGATACAGGTGGAGAGATTGACTGTGTTGATAAGGATGGAAACACTCCGCTGCACGTTGCTGCTCGATACGGCCATGAACTTTTAATAAACACTCTAATCACGAGTGGAGCTGACTGCACCAGGTTTGACTCTGCATTTGGATCTTTGTTAAAATATTGGTAACTCATCATAACTTGTTGTTTCTGATTCTGTTTCTGACTATTTCGTTCTCCCCTATGTTCTTCTGCAGAAGAGGGGTTCACGGCATGTTCCCCTTGCACCTTGCCGCTCTGAATGCTCATGCCGACTGCTGCCGGAAACTCCTCTCCTCAGGTAGTAACTATGCCACCAAATCGCACTCGTTGGACCGCATTAAAATACAATGAAACAATGTGCAAGTGATGTACACATTAAACTCATGCTGAAAATGCAAGTTTGAATCTGACTGGACATTTCCTGATCCCATTCCTTTTACTTCTCCCCATTATTTCCTGTTCTTTCTATAGGACTTTACTTTACTCTACTGAAAGAAGTCTCTTATGCTCACCAAGTCTGCATGTATCTGATCAAAATAGAATAAATCCAGTAATATTGTTAAATCTTATTACAATTGATAAGATATATTCTACTTGAATATATTTTAAAATGTAATTTATCCCTGTCATGACAAAGCTGAATTTTCAGCAGCTATTACTCCAGTCTTCAGTGTATGCGTATTATGAAATTATAATTATTATTATCAAACATTGTTTCCATGATTGCTTGATGAATAGAACATTCCAAAATAAAGCATTTATTTGAAACATAAATACAAAGCTCTGTCATGAAGCTGTAGATGATGGGTCCTTAACTCAACCTGCTTGCAATCACATCATTCTATATAGGGCACTGCTGATTGGTTCTTGCTGTATCAGTAACCAATGAGCTTGAGTGGTCAACCCTCAAATACTTGGTCTGCATTTGCTTTAGCAGTTGCAGCATGCTTTCAGAAGCCTCCACCTTCCCCAGCTCCACCTGTATAGATCTGCTATGGGTAATTCATTGTACAGCAGCAGTATGTCTTACTAGCAGAATAGCAGATCTATTTCGCCAAGACCATATATTAACATTGTCATACCCATTACAATGCCAAACAGTCTGAGAGTTGTCATGACTGAAATGTCTTTACTGTCACTTTCTATCAATTTGATTATTTGAATAAAATAATGAATCCTCCTTTCCGAATTAAAATTATTTGCAAATGTGTTAGATTTAATATCATTGACCACATATCACACCAGGTGTGGGAGACTTTGGGGCACTCATTATTAAGAGCCTGTTTTGTATTTTGGTAACCTTCCCAGAAAACTGTAAGTTGTTACAACAGCAAAGGGAGGACCAACTCCATATTGATGCCCATGATTTTGAAATGAAATAATCAGTGGCTATGGTCCACATACTTTTGGCCATATGGTGTTGTTTTCTATATTGAGATGAGTAGGGGACCAAGTACTGAACCAAGTGGTACCCTTCAAATTGATGTGACTCAGACAACCCTCCTCTTTAAAAAATACTTCATACTACTCTTTGTGTTAAATGCTGTTCTTCTTTATGTAATTAGGTTTATTCTCTGAGTTAAAGATATTTTACTCTGAAATGATTGGCATGAATATTTCCTCAAGTCTGGAATGCCCTAATTTCTGTGTGCTTGCTTAACTTGGACTCTTGATCATGGGATTGTTGTAGAGGAAACATTAGATTAAATGTAGATGCTCTATCTGTACTTTTAAATCATTCTGTTTGATTGTACACGTTTGTGTTCTCACCTGTGTGAGCGATGTGTTTGTCTTGTGTTTCCTGTGTGCACTGTCTTTGTTTTTTCCTGCACTAACATACTTTCTCTCTCTGTCTCTCTTTCTTTCACATTGTCTCTTTTTGGACTCCTTTTTCCCCATTTTATTCTTTCCCCCTCCTGCGGTCTGACACTGTGACTGTCTGCGTCTGATTGTGGGCGCACTGCATCCTTCCTCCCCATCTTTTCATTCCTCTACAGGACGGAGGTATAGCATAATGTGCCCTCTCAATAATGACTCGGTCCTGTCTGCAGGCTATCAAATCGATACACCAGACAACCTTGGGAGGACATGTCTACATGCCGCGGCTGCGGGCGGGTGAGTCTGTCTGTCTTGCAGACAGCTCTGTTAAATGTGGAAAAAAAATACATGTCTAATAATATTTGATCTGGTGTTAGCTAAGCTTACTTTTCAAAAACATTTTAAAACATATCCTATAAAATCTGATAAAAATACATAATAAACTTAGCTTAGCTGAAATTAAAAACTGTATATTTCAAGTGTGCATACACATTGTAGAGCTAAACAAATAGGTAGTCTTGGCCAATAATGTGACTGAACCTTTTAACTGAAAGGTAGAACATCTTTTGGTACATCTGCCATATTGAGCATTTCTATTTCTCCCTTTTGTTTTTCTACAAGATATCTGTCTAGTTCCTTATTCTGTTTCTGATTGGACCTTGTGTAACTGCAGTTATATATTACATGGAATGTGATACAAAATGTAGAAGTCATTAAGTTATATATATATATACCCAAAAACAATACCTAAGAATGCATGAATACAACATCAAAACTAATTATTACCCTGTTGTCCATTGTTCAGACAAATAGCAGTATTGTTTGACCTGTTGTATGTCTGCATACCAGCTAAATTCTCTCTCTCTCTCTCTCTCTCTCTCTCTCTCTCTCTCTCTCTCTCTCTCTCTCTCTCTCTCTCTCTCTCTCTCTCTCTCTCTCTCTCTCTCTCTCTCTCTCTCTCTCTCTCTCTCTCTCTCTCTCTCTCTCTCTCTCAGTAATGTGGAATGTGTGAAGCTACTACTTAGCAGCGGAGCTGATCATAACCACAGGGACAAACATGGAAGGTGAGTTATGGGTAAATATGAGACATGTTCATCAGGATAATTGCTCATTCACTTTTCATGCCTGTGCTCACTTCAGCTGCAGTTAAAGTACTGAATCTTCTAGACAATAAAACATCTGTGGTATTCTTTGCATAATTAAATATTTGAATTGGATTAAGACAAAAGATTTAAAAATGTTGGCTTAAAGGTGCAGTGTGTAGTGTGTCCAACTACTTATATTTTCTAACAGGGTAGTAAAAGTTTAGCTGGCTAATATGAGCTGTTATGCTGTAGGGCTGTGGTTGAGCTGGTTAAAGCATAACCATTGTTTATACTCGACGTGTCCACATGAGCGCAAAGGTGCGCGCGAGTGCACCTCCGCATCCCTAGACACCATTTACTACACACAAATTAATATAATTTTTTATTTTTTTTCTCTGGTTTTGAAAACTCGACTTAAAATGCTTCCAAGATCGACTTGTCGACCGCGATTGATGGGTTTGTGACTCCTGTAACGTTACTGTTTTACGGTCAATAGTACTAATCAGCTGATTGTCAAAGCTATAACACAGCCAGGGAGAAGAACGAAGTTACATGAAACAATCCAACTACGTACATATTTTACGCCACTGACAAGGGAAAAGTCACTATGGTGTTTATGGCTAGCTTCTAGCTTTCTGCTGCTTCTCTTTTAAGGTATGAACGAAACACGCTCTGTAGCGCTGTTTGTTCGCTGTCGGCTACGGTAGAAACACCGTACGGTAGGGGGTGCCCGCGGTTATATAGATATACATGTCTCATTCTAAGGTAAACGGTTCATTAGGTAAAGTTATACACCACTGAACACATAGTTATGGATCTTATATTGCATTTCTGTCAATAGATCCTCAGAAATATCACACATTGCACCTTTAATGGAAAACTGTTGAGTAGTAATCACTAAATTTAACTCAAATCTCAAGTTTTTTCGTAGACATTTTCTGATTGTACAACTATCACTGCACACATTAAATTATATCATTTCTTTTGAACTCATTTTTTGTACTCTAAACTTTTAGATCATACTTAAATTTTGTCAACCTTATTTTATCTCTTTCTTTTGTTATGGCTGTGGACAGGACCCCTCTCCACTATGCAGCAGCTAGTCGACACTTTCAGTGCTTGGAGACTCTGGTGTCCTGCGGTACCTCCATTAATGCCACTGACCATTGGGGGCGCTCTGCTGTGCACTACGCTGCTGCTTCTGATCTGGACAGGAGGTATACACATTTACACAAACAGCCACATCTGTGATTTCCTCCTTCAAGATTCAGTTAAATAATGGATGTGGCGCTGAGTTTGTAAAAATAAACAAATATTGCATTTTCAGTAATAGACTTATAATGGAGTTTTTACAGTGTACAAATGGAGCTTAGCTGATTGTGGCCAAACAACATGTAATTGATGGATATAGATGCATGTCTAACACAATTAAATGATGTAGCCACCAGCAGCTGTAGTCCAACAGCAGGGGAAATCGAGTGCACTGCCAGTCCCCACCCATATAATCCTCTAGCAGCTACAGTAACGCATATCTATGTTACCATGGCAACCACAGGCTATTTTTAAGTCTCATGTCATTGGGATAGTTTATGTGCCGAGACAGGGGTTCAGCATCAAGTTAAGGAAACACCTTTGTGCTTTATTTAATTAGATTAGCTGCCAGATTTCACTGGCACAAATTGTAAATAAGTAATGAGTTGGTAACTGTAGTTTCTGTCATTGTAACATTTTTTTAATTAATATACTTTATTTTACAGTGTCCTTATTACACGTTACATGTAGTTATTACTACTCAGTGATCACATGTACAATTACACTGTAACACAGACAACTTAAAAAAAGTTTGTATACCCTTGTTTTTTATACTAAGATACCCCATTTTATTTTATTATCTCTTTTTTTGTCTTAAGCTGATCTCATGCCTGATCACATTTGATATTGTAATATTAATTATATTGTGTTTTATTGATGCTTTTTTAAATTAATTAAAAAAAAAAAAAAAAAAAGGTTTTATTGATTGTTGAAGGAGCAGTGACCTTGTGTACATGTTTTCTCTGAAGGCGGCGTGTGGTCCTGGAACCAGAGAGTGACGGTGTTCAGGCTGAGAGGGAGAAGGAGGCAGCTCTGTGAGTTCTCTGGTCCATGTGTGCTCAGCCTCATGCTTTGATTCGAAAACACTGGGTGTTTGTGTCTGTGTGCATGCATTACCTCATCATTTTACTGTCTGGGACAACCTTAATGAACTTTTCCTCTCTCAGCTTCCACAGTAGAGCACATACATAATTATGCTTTATCCTAGGCATGTATACATACAATGTACACACATAAATGCATACGTTTGCCTTACCTCCACGGAGTGCGTACAAAATGTTTAATGCACTGCTTGCTGTGTATTACCTCGCTTCTACCATGGTAATTTTCCAGCATTGACAACTGTTTTTGATGGTTGCAGCACAATATTTGACCAGAAGGGTAAAAATGACACTTATTTTTGTCAGTTACAGCTCATTAGATCTAGCATTCTGCCTGCTTTGAATCAGTCACAGAGAAAGTTGTCCTAAAGATCATATTTATATCAATGAATGATTTATAGCGATTATTTGAATTAATTATTTAGAGAGAGATAAATTACCTGTCTGTTCAGCGTTAATAGAGTTCTCTATTAAAAACGAAGCTGAGTGTTTACTTAAAAACCAGCAATGTAACCCCTCGATGCTGAGAAAAGATTGCGGGGCAAAAATTGCGGGGCAACGTTGATAAGTTTCTGTGCTCCTGAAAGTTTCTGTGTGCACGCAGCGCTGTCTCCAAGTGATGCATGTGTTTGTGTGCTTATATGAAAACGGCGCAAAATGTATGCATGTGTGTGCTTCAATGAAAACAGCACAATAATATTGAACGGTAATTAAACCATGGTGTACTGTACATGAAAGCAATAAGGTACAAGAGACTATGATTTATGATGAATAAGTCATGGCTAAAGGGTGTTTTTATATATATATATATATATATATATAGATAGATAGATAGATAGATAGATAGATAGATAGATAGATAGATAGATAGATAGATAGATAGATAGATAGATAGATAGATAGATAATACATATAAACATATAGTATATACATAGTTGACAATGTATGTTTGTTACACTAGTTTGTTAAATATACATTTATATTTGTGTGTAGGTGTCTTGAGTTCCTGTTGCAGCACGGTGCCACCCCGTCACTTAAAGATAAACAAGGCTACAGTGCCGTTCACTACGCTGCAGCGTACGGCCACAGACACTGTCTGAAACTGGTGAGGACACAAACATTTCCAGTGTGTGCCACAGGGCACTTCCTCCATCTCAACAACATTAGATTTAAATGCGTAACACGCAAATTATTAAGTCAGTTTGTGGTTTCATTGTTTGTAGTAGAATGATATGCGTGTTAATGCCTGCAATTTGTTTAACTTTTCAGTGCAAGAATGAATGTGGGCCTGTTAAATTTAGATTCGTTTTTTAATTAAGTTTAATGAGAACAGATGTAATTCAGATTTTTAAATTTGATTTCAGCTTTTGGACAGAGATGAGAACCATCCAGATGAGATGGAAAACAGCCAAACCAGAAGTCCACTGCATCTGGCTGTAAGTCCAAATACCTTTTCTCTTTTCACTTACACTACCGTTCACAAGAACAACATTTATTGGAAAATATATATATATATATATATATACTATTGTCTATTCTAACTATTGTCAATTTTGATCAATTTAATGCCTCCTTGCTGAATAAAAATATAAATTTCTTTAAAAAAAAATTGTAAAACTCTTACTGACCCCAAACTTGTGAATGGTAGTGTACACACATTTCTTAGGACGGTTCACATTACTTCCAATTTATTGTAAATGAAGCTGATTAAGCAGTGTTATATACACCCAAAAACAATACCTAAAAATGCATGAATACAATAACAAAACTAGTTATCACCCCGTTGTCCAATGTTGTTCAGACAAATAGCAGTATTGTTTGACCTGTTGTGTGTCTGCATATGTTGTTCTGCATACCAGCTCATGGCTACATTCTCTCTCTCTCTCTCTCTCTCTCTCTCTCTCTCTCTCTCTCTCTCTCTCTCTCTCTCTCTCTCTCTCTCTCTCTCTCTCTCTCTCTCTCTCTCTCTCTCTCTCTCTCTCTCTCTCTCTCTCTCTCTCTCTCTCTCTCTCCCTCCCTCCCTCCCTCCCTCCCTCCAAAATAAGCATTTAAAGAAAGTTAAGAAACCCATCCCACCACCTAGTAGATTCCAAGAACATCCACATAGCAACATGCTAAAAACAAAACACCTTAATAATGGCATCATCCCAGTTGACATGGAATGTTTTCCGAACTTTGGCTTACGTTCTAGCAAGGTTCTCTCAAAGTTATGGACAAACATTATTCCAGTAACACTAAACTTTAAAAACATTTTTTACTACTTCAGAATGCTTACAGAATGTTCCCATGTTTTTGGCAAAATGATAAAATGAAATGTTCCCTTAACATTTGAAACATTTAAAACATTTTAAAAACTTTGTTGAACGTTCAGAGAACATTCAGAAATACCTTTTTTCATAATTTAATAGGAACGTTAGCTAAATGTTTTTAGAACATATTTTTGTATTATTTGTTTGTGACAATTTTTGTTTGTGACAATTTCAGACAGTTAATCTTACACCTTGACAAGTGCATATGTCTGTGTCCAGGCATACCATGGTCACGCACAGGCTCTAGAAGTGCTCTTGGAGGGTCACTGCGAGGTGGATCAGGGGGATGAGGTGGGTCGGACTCCATTGGCCCTTGCTGCCCTCAGGGGCCACAACGACTGCGCTCTCACACTTCTGAACCACGGGGCCTCGCCGAGAAGCAGAGATACTACACGAGAACGTACACCCATCCACCTTGCAGGTATTGCACCTATGTGTGGTGGAAATTACATAATTGTGCAATTTTTTTTTTTTTTTTTTTTACATTTTTTAATAGACTGTGATTCTTTCCAGTAATGAATGGTCATACATCATGTGTGCGTCTCCTGCTGGAAGACTCTGATAATGCAGATCTGGTTGACACAGCAGACTCTCAGGGACAGTGAGTGATTTGTTTATTAAATATTTTGGAGTGAAATGAGTGTGTCATGTCCTGTTATGCATGTTTTTTTAATTACTATACATCTATTAAATTCATTAAAAACAACAATTACTATTTTTCTGTTATAAATAAATATTGGAGTGTCAACAAAAAACTTCATCACACTACATACTAACACTAGTAATAAATTGAATCAACTCACTAATGAATAGAACGTAACTATATCTACTGTTATAAACAGCTGTATTTTAACAAAATATTAATTTTTCCTAAATTAAGATGAAAAATGTGCCTATGGACTTATGGGAATACCACTGATTGATTGATTGAAGTGGTGTTTAATTGAAATTAAAGTGCACTGGAGAGAGACACATTGCTGCACTTGAGATTGCATTGATGAGTATTCCTACTATGTGTATTTGCAGAACCCCTCTAATGCTGGCAGTAATGGGGGGTCATGTGGACGCTGTGTCTCTTCTGTTGGAGCGTGAGGCCACTGTAGACATGGCTGATCATCAGGGTCTGACTGCTCTACACCTGGGGGTGAGTTTCCTGATCTCGTCAACTGTATGGGCTATATGCACGCATAAGTTCCGCATTTGACGCAAGGATGCTCTACCATTTCCGGTTGGGGAGATTAAAGCGGAGGAAAACCGAGGAAAACAGGATTATGGCAGAGTCTTCAAAATTTACTGTCCTCCCGTCTTTGAAACGAAACTTGCATACGTTTAGATGTAATTTTATATATAGTCATGTTTATTTAATATAATTTTAAAAAGAAGCATAAACACAACGAGGGGTCTCTGTTTTATCTGTTTTTGTGACTAACGTTTCTTTAGTATCCACAAGTTTCCGAGGGGCGCTCCTGTAAAATATAAAGTGGGTGAAACTTCCGGTGACGCGGCGGAAGTAGCATTCCAATGGTATTTTGTGTGTTAGTTAGCGAAGAGGCTAGCTGTTTTTCGGAGAATTATTTTACTATTTAAAGACGCAAATCTTTATAAAAGATGTCGTTACGGAGCTCAGGGACAACATGTGCTGTTCGCGGTTGTATGTATAAACGGACTAAACTAATTTAGTGGCTTAAACGGGATTGTTTTGAACATAAGCTGAAAACGAAATTAGACTGAGTGATCCTGCCAACGACTGTAGTTTCCATCACCTCCCAAAAGACGACGAATCTTCCTGTGTACATTTGTTTAAATTCTTAATATTCTATAAACTCTATCAGCATGTGTTTGGCTGTTCGCTACTGATGTTACACCTAAACTCAGGATCAAAGCCTGAGGTGACAGAATACCAAATGTGCCAGTTAATGTATTCAAGCAGCACATTCATTTATAATTTTGAATAAACTCCAAAGCACAATGACTAAGTGTGTATTTTTTATTTTAATTGTTTGTCAGCTCGCACAACTGTCTGTCACCATGCCTTGATGAGTATTGATTATTAATAATGTTATTATAATACTCCCAATCAACTACTGCAGAGGTAAAGGTACTGTTATTTCACCCTATTGAATTTCGTTGAGGTTGTGTTCCCACATCGTTAGCTAGTTTGGATCGCTATAACTTGAATGACTGTCAACTGTTGAATGAACGAGTGTCAAGCATGTCAAATCGCGCTTTGTTTACTTCCAACCGGAAGTCGCGCCCACTTTTGACGCAAGGCCTCATGGGGCGTAGGAAACTTGTGGATAACCATGGAGTATAAAATTCAATATACATTCTCGGCATTGTATTGGACTCTACGATTGGCGGAAGTTATCGAGCATCCTTAAACCTTCACCGGAAATACCGCTGTGCATAGAGCCCATTGAAGTTCAAGATATGCAATGACTTTTACTTGATTTTGGTGTTGATAGTAATGCTAATACAATAAAATACTAAATTATGTTTTATTATCAAAGTTCGGGTGGAGCACGTTTAGATAATTAAACCTAATTAAACGCATGTGGAGCACATTCAGGTAATCAAGCCGAGCTAGTTGGATGCACAAACTCCAGACATAATTGATTCCTTGCAATTTATACACAATGCGTTCAAAAGTTTGTGGTCGTGAGATTTTGATTTTTTTTTTTTTTTTTTTTACTTCTCACCAATGCTACATGTATTTGATCAAAAATAAAGTAATATTGTAAAACTGTATCACAATTTAAAATAACAGATTTGCATTTTTTTTAAATGTTACTTATTCATAAGTCTTCAGTGTCATCGTTCAGATATCATTTTTAATATGGTGTTAAAATAGTGAATAAATAAAATGGTGATAGTGAATAAAATGGTTTTCGTGCTGCTGAATATTTTTTACACACCTCAATGAATAGAAATAATAGCATTTACAATAGAAATCTTTAGTAACATTGTAAATGCCTTTGCTGTTTTGATCAATTGAATGTATCCTATCTGAATAAAAGTATTAATAAAAATGAAATAAAAAAATCATACTGTCCCTAAACCTTGGAACGATATTGTTATCAGGAAGAACAAAGTTGATTAAGACAGACAATTAACATATCTTAAGATGTACTCTTATTTGGTTGTCATGACTAATGAGTTATTTTTATTTATTTTAAACTCTCTCTCTCAGCTCTTGTGTGGACAGGAGGAATGTGTTCAGTCCCTGTTGGAGCTAGAGGCATCAGTGGTACTGGGGGACTCCAGGGGTCGGACAGCCATCCACATGGCTGCAGCGAGAGGTCACGCATCCTGGTTGAGCGAATTGCTCAATATTGCATGTTCTGAACCCCCAATGCCCCCATTGCGAGACAACCAGGGATACACACCCTTGCACTGGGCCTGTTACTATGGTTAGTTCCAATATGAGTTGAACAATATTTATGAGTAAACAGAATGCTATTTTTGAAGTATGGTTGACTAGTATCTGTGTTATAGGTCACGAAGGCTGTGTGGAGGTCATACTCGAACAAAAAGACTTTCGTCAGTTTGATGGGAACCCCTTCACTCCGCTGCATTGTGCTGTGTATGTCTGCTGTGAGATTGTCTTCATCTCTGTCATCTGTTGCTCTTTTCTTCTCTGTTTCAACTTGTCTGTCTCTGAATCATCTGCCTTGCAGGGTCAATGACCATGAGACTTGTGCCACCCTTTTATTAGAAGCCATGGGATCAAAGATTGTAAATTGCAAAGACTCCAAAGGCAGGTTAGTAACAGTCCTAGATAACAGATAATAGAATATAATAGAATTGTACCTAAAGTGGCTCCAAAATTTGAACAAATATAATAGAAATGAGCCAGAGGAAATTATTTTAAAGAAGAACTGTTGTCTCGATTTATCAGGACACCTCTCCATGCTGCTGCATTCGCTGGGCACATTGACTGTGTTCAGCTGCTCCTGGCCCACAATGCATCTGTGGATGATGTTGACCAATCAGGGCACAGTGCACTGATTATGGCAGCAGAGAAAGGAAGAGTTGAGGTTGTAGGTATGTGTTCTTCACCATGTTTTTCTTCACCTCTTTTGCATTATGCCTCTGTTCATTTGCATAAAAGGGTTATGCAAATGAGCTCACTTATGCAAAGTGTGGCATGTGTTTTAAACAGAAGCTCTGCTTACTGATGCTAATGTGAATCTCAGTCTGACTGACCAGAAGGGCAATACAGCACTTCATCTAGCCTGCAGTAATGTAAGTAGAGCCAATTGCATGCCATAATACATGTATGACTGTTCTTCTCATGGGGTTTCCGTTAATATTACTTATATTTATTATTACTATGAAACAAAAAATGATGCCAGATGTGAATACAAACATTGCAAACAGTATTTTTGAATGTTTTTATTAATCCATTACCTTCCTCTAAAGATGATTTTCTCTTCTGCTTTTTTCCAGGGAATGGAGGAATGTGCATTGCTCATTCTTGGAAAAATTCCAGAATCTGCACTCGTTGCCACAAACGCTGCACTGCAAACGTGAGTTCCCTTCCACATTATATTACATGTTATGTTTACATCTATGCATTTGGTAGATGCTTTTATCTAGCCTGGGAAAACCCAGACAACTTCCGGCAAATTTAGATTTGCTCTGAAAGTCGGTCTTGCAAAGAGCTCATTCAAGCCCATTTCCAATCCGCCGAAATCACGGCACCAATCAGAAACGTTGGGGCGGGCTTTACACGATGACGACAGCGCTGGGATTTTGAAGCAGATTTTGTAGCCTACATTACAAAGATGGAGGCCGCCGTCGAACATCACTCGTTCGAATCAGCTATCAGCTAAGCGATTTAAATGTTTCCTTTTTGTTAAAAACTGAGCAAATAACAAAACTCGGAGCATACGCCACTCCTTCATCGCTCTGATTGGTTTTAGGTCTATCCGCGACGTCAGTTGGTGGCGCCCCACTGGAAATGATTTGTCTATGATGCTTTGCCAGACCACAACTGGGAATGGTCTGGTTTTAACCAGGCTAGCTTTTATCCAAATCTTACATTGCATTGAAGGAATACATTTTATCAGTTCATGGATTCCCTGGGGATTCCCTGAGTTTCTCGCTCACTTGTTTCTCATTCCCTCTCTCAGACCTCTCCATCTGGCTGCTCGCAGCGGGATGAAGCAGACAGTGCAAGAGCTGCTCTCTCGTGGGGCCAGCGTTCAAGTACTAGATGAGAATGGTGCGTCTGAAATCTCGGCCGATTTTGTTCACGTGTAGATTGTCAGTGTATGTGCATCTGTCTATGTCAGTCTTCTTTTATTAGTGCCATAGAAGCTTTTGCCAAAGCAGTGACTGTGTCTCAAAGCTTTGACGGTGTCATGTGTGTCCCTTTTGCCCCCCAACCATGTGTTTGGCTTCCTGACTAGCGAGGCACTAATGGAATGCTGCTTTCGTCCATCACCTCCCCACCACTGTCCTTTTGTTCCACTGCTCCGTCCCTCCCTTCACCTCTTTCTGCTATCCTGTCTCTCTCGCTCTTTGGCTGTCTTTCCACGCAGGTCTCACCCCTGCTCTGGCTTGCGCTCCCAGCAGGGAAGTGGCTGACTGCCTGGCTCTCATTTTGGCTACCATGATGCCTTTCTGCTCCCCTTGCAGCTCTGGAACTCCTTCCCCAGGCGGCCTGCTGAAATCTCTGCCCCGCCAGGCCAAGAGTCCCCAAGGCCCCCGCAGTCCAAGGGACCCCTCCGGTCCCTCCAGCGAGGGCACGACCACTGAAAACGACTCGGACTCAGAGACATTTTGACCCCGGCTCCTTCTAGAGGTGCCCGTCATAGTTTTCAAAGCACATATTGTCATGAACCTTACAGAATTTTTACAGATTTCTGATTATGGAGCTCAACCTCAATAACAAGAGATTATGAAACATGACATAGCGCGCTTGGTACGCTTTTGTTTTGCCACACTTTTTTGCACAGGAGATTTTTTTCGAAAGCCATTTTAATCACTTTAACACAGGATGATTGAGATCGCCAAATGTTGACCGACAAAGTACGATAATTTATAGTGTGGCGTGGTCTGTCTTAATCTGTGGACTTTTAAAAGCACAAACCCTGCACAAGGTGAGGTCAGTCATTTCACTCATGTTGTCACTGTGGGACCATTCAGGAACCAAGAAGTCACATTTTTGGAACAACAGGGGATCAGGCCATCACTGCATCAAAGTCACTTAGTATTTATTTGTAAGAGCAAAGGCTGGAATACACGATATGACTTTGGTGCAGATTTTTGCTGATTTAAGTCTGGACAATTTGTCAAAAGTCAGAGCCAGACTGCAGATGACTTGACAGAAAATCACATTGTATATGATGGGCACAGACAACTAACTTTATTGAGACACAGACAAACAGACATGCTAATAAACAATATATCACTACTGTTTTACTATGGTTGATGCGCTGAGCAGCCATATTGGATTATGAAGTCCGGGTTTTGTTGCGGTTTCTTAGAGTTTCCCATTTGCAACTCTGACTTGAGGGGGCATTTCAGTTAAAAGTCCCACTTAAATGGAATGCACCATAAGATTCCATCGAGTCTGTGAATATCAAACATATTTGATATTTTGAACCAATTTTACAGCACATTGTTTTCATTTGTCATGCATCTACCAACAAAGGTTTTTTGTTCGGAGTGATTTCTAGTTAGTGTCTAGTTAGTGAAGTCTAGTTAGTGTATGTGATCCTAGTTTTGTTTATAATGCCCATTGTTTCTCTGTAACCATCTACAAAGTCTGCAAAGCGCATGACGCCGTTTAGATTTGAAAAGTTGTGTAGTGTATTCCAGCCTTTTGACTGTAAGTCCATAAAACCCATTGTAATGTGATGAGAATCCAATGCAAGTTCTCCATTGTCCAGATCGTACACGAGTTGTACTTTACACTTTGAATTTGACATATTGTGAATGGAAGGCTCTTGAGATTTATATTATAAAGAAGAGCATTTTTATGCTATAGATACACGTACATTTCTAGGCCTTGAAGTCTGACGCTTTTGGAGAGTGACACTTTGTCACTCTGTTCCTTCTCAGACATAGAGACAGTGTTCAAATAATACTTCTATTCAGGTTAAATTTTAGATTCTAGTCAGAGGCTATGGCATGTTATGTGAACCAGGATGTTTTCAAGCCTGTACCAATATTTATTTACATTTAGATAACAATGGTACGACAATTGTATGCACTTATGTATAGCAGTAAATTTGTGTTTAAAGGAATAGTTCATCCCTAAATAAAAATTCTGTCATTATTTACTCTTGTTGTTTAAAACCATGCTGACCAATGTCTGTCAAGCTCCAAAAATAACAGAAATACCTCCAAAAAGAACTATGTACTGTATTCCAAGTCTTCTGAAGTCAAATGAAAGCTTTGTATGAGAAAGAGGATGACATTTAAGCTGTTAACCTCTGAAAATCTTCCTCTTCAGTGAGCTGTTGGTACTTGATCATTGCGTTTGAGAAATGAACTCAAGAACTTAATCATGAAAACAAATCATTTAGTTTGTTTTGTGAATCAAATCAATCAATTAATTCAAAAGAACCAGTTCAAAAGAATGATTTGTTCACTAATTGGACTTATCCAGTGAACTCACTGACTCAGTTATCAGTGAATAATGACTTAAATTTCAGTCTCTTCCCCTCTCAAAATGATTGTAGGGCTTTAGAAGACCTCTCCTTTTGTGCTCCATGAATAGAAAAATAACACCCGGTGTTGGAATGACATGACTGGGAGTAAATAATGACAGAAATTGCATTCTGGGGTTAACTATTCATTTAACATTGAATCCAGAACCTACCCCGTAGAGTAACCTACCCCGTCCTCTCTTTTTTTCCCCCCTTTCTTTTGCACTGGTTGAATATTAATCCTTTTAAAACAGATTTATAACATTCTTTTGGGGGATCTTAGCAAGCGTTTTTATTTGCTTTCAAATTTGAATCCATTTTGCTTCAAAAGATAAAGAGCTTTTAGTGTAGATGGTGTTTTAAACTCTTGCTGGTCAGAAAATTCTAAATGAAAATGTAAACCACTGTTTATCTGTTTGCCTTTGTCCACAATGTGCCAGTTTCTCAGTGTCCGGTGCCTTGTTCTGCATTTTCAGAGTCTGCCAATCGTAAGCCAATGTTTTTCTACCAAGTCCTGATGTTTGTGCCTACGAGTGTCTGATTTACAGTAGGAAATAGTTTTTGTACATATCAGAGCATGGACATTATCATCACCAGAGCAAAAATTGCACACAACTGTCTTATTACAAAAGCACATGGTTGATTTTCTTTTCATAAATTAGATGGATTATAATTAGATTAGAAGGGTGCAGAGGAATGGAGTCAAACAGTATTATAACAGAAAAAAAAAAAGCTTTGAAATGTATGACAATCTAGATCGTGGTTTCCCCCATTCTGATGTCAGCTCAAGTTTTATATACAAATAAATTGTATGACTATTATATAAAATGTTTGAACAGAGTTTTGTGTAGTCTTTTTTTTTTGTTGTTTATCCAATATGAATTTCAGTGAATTAACTCTTAAGTAGGGACTTGTCAAATGCATTGTATTTAACCAGTGTCATATTGTAGTTCTCTTACGAGAGGTTCTCTCGTATTGCGTAAGGTAGCTTACGCTACGGGAGAGATTAATCTTTTCTGAGAAGTTGAAGCCAAAAAATTATCATATAATTTGTATCCATGTCAACGCAGTTCAATTGCAGCAGACACCTGAGCGGGCTAGCAGCTCATTGGTTCGCTCACAGATGGGCTGAACCCGCGGCCAATGAGAAGCGGACACGCTCTCATTGCGTCTAGCCCGCCACAATGGGCGTGGCTCGAGTGTATAAATAGCCAGCATCCATGATTCTGAAAAAGTCGGCCGCCTTCGCCACCTTCAGCCGTCCTGCAATCTAGCGCCATCCGGCGCGACTTATAACCTTTTCTCTGCTGTTTCTGCATCCAAAAGAGCGCATGCGTCTTTTGCAAGATGCCTCGAGAGTTCTCCCTCCGAGTTCAGAAAGCCACCTAGGCCATGAATCAGACAGGGCGGCTGCTCTCGCTCCGACACCCGCCTCCCCGGGGGCCTCGTCCCAAGATCGCGCTGAAGCCAGATCAGCCGAAGTCTGCCTAGCGCTGCTGAGAAACCGGATGCTTTCTCCTGCTGCGGCCGGACCGCCGTCAAACCTTCGCCCTCTTCTAGTCCCCGATCCTCTGGCTACTACAGCATTGTTTGACGTCACAAACAAGCCGGTCTCCCTGCCCGCTTGCGAGCGCCAATACGCCGCTTTCACGGCGACCAAGACAGAAAAAATCTCAAAAAGAGCATTAAAGCCTCTTGTGTAAAAATGTGCCCACAACCCTGTGTTAACCCTTGCACACAAGCACCACATGTCCCATGTATCTCTCAGAGCCCACTCCCACAAAGCGGACACAGCCCGCTCGAGTGTCAGAGTGCATAAGCGCACCGACGTTGATAAACCGTTGGGCTTTAATCAAGAAGACCTGAGTTTAATTCCCATTCTTGCTTACGTTAAATTGTTGTGATTATATCAAACAAAGTGGCCAAAACAACATTTCTTCAACCCGGTATCACGACAAGACGTACGTGAAATAATCACTTTGGTGCACTTTTGAAAATGCGTAGATGTCCCGGTTTTAACCCCATTTAAAATGCAATATATATACATATATATGTATATATAATTTTCAAGGTGAAAAGGATTCATTTGCCTGGATCCACCCCGAAGAAAACGTCTAAATGTCACGTTTTTAATGAAGCAGCCTAATGAGTAAAACGCGTCCGCACAGAGAGAATGCACGAACCTATGGGAGAGCGGCGCTGAGTCCGCGGCCAATGAGCGGACGGCGCTCGCTCACCGCGTCACAGCCCGCCAAAAGGGGCGTGGCTACAGTGTATAAAGGTAGCTCTCCCAAGCTAGTTCATCGATTCTTCATCATTCAGCGAGCTACACGCATCCGCTGTCCTGGGAAGGAGCCGCCGTCGTCGAGAAGACACCTTCTAGCAATCTCCGGAGTCTGAGGAAGCCGGCTTTCTGCCACCTTCAGCCGCCCAGCAAGCTAGCGCCATCTGACGCGTATCCTTTATTCAACCTTTTCACAAAAGAGGCGCTCAGTGGACGGAGCCGCCGCGAAGGGTTATACTGCCATGCCGCCCGTCGAGGACCTGGTCGCCGCTCATCTTTTCCCGCCCTCTGCTAGATGGCGTTCTTCCCCTACGCTTCCTTCAAAAGCGTGCAGAACGACCTCTAACTTTCATGCCCGCGCCTACGCTGCCGCCGGACAGGCCGCTTCAGGACTGCATTCCATGTCAGTCCTCCAAGTGCTCTAGAGCGACATCTTGTGCGAGATGGCGAACAGCGGTAGGAACCCGCCCATCCTCTCGGATCTGAGAAGCGCTACGGATCTTTCCTGGGAAAGCCCTGGGAAATGCATGGCCGCCCTCTGTGTCGCTGAGAGACACTTATGGCTCACGCTTACCGACATGTGAGATTCAGAACGCGCCGTGTTCCTCAACGCGCCTATCTCTCCGACCGGTCTCTTCAGATCTGCCGTCACGGGCATCGTTGACCGCTTCTCCGAGGTACAGAAAGCGACCCAGGCCATGAACTTGTTCCTGCCGCGCTAGCTCTTCGGCAGGCCGCTCGCACGAGCCACCTGCCAGAACCCCACATCAGCGCCCGCCTCAGCAAGCTCAGCAACCCCAGCGTAGACAGGGCGGCCGCCCTCGCTCTCGCTCTGACAGCCGCCGCAGACAGCCTCCTCCCCGCCGACTACAGTGGAGTTCACCGCCACAATCAAGCAGGTTTCCCTGCCCGCTTGCGAGCGACTAAAAGCCGTTTTCACGGCTACCCAGAGAGTCCACAAAAAGAGCATAAAAGCTTCAAGCCCACAAGCATGTGCTCACGAATACACACAAGCACCATATGCCCCGGGTCTCACACAGAGCCCATTCTAACGGAGCGAGCTCTATCAGCTCCAGTAGCAGAGAACATAAACACGCCCACGAGCCCGTGCGCCAACCGCATTATAAGCGCGCCCACACCCAGTGTCCAGCCCGCTATGTGCAGCAATCAGGGCGAAATCGCCATTCAACCTCTAGCCGCATGCTGCGAAGCGTGGGAAGCCATCCCCGGCATCTCCCCGTGGGTTTTAAGCATAATAAAGAATGGCTATCGATTAAAGTTTCATCGCCGCCCGCCACGCTCGCGCGTGCGGCTCGAATCCACTGTCAGCCCGGCTGCTATGAACACGCTTCGCTTAGAAATAGCCAAGCTACTGCAGAAGGGCGCTATAGAGAGAGTCCCGCCATCTATGACCGGGTCGGGGTTTTACGGCCGTTATTTTCTGGTTCCCAAGAAAGACGGCAGCCTCAGGCCGATATTAGATCTCAGGGCTTTGAACAAAGCGCTCATGAAGAGACCGTTCAAAATGCTCACAGTCAAGAAACTCCTCGCGCACGTCCGCCAGGGGGACTGGTTCATCTCTCTAGACCTGAAAGACGCCTATTTTCAGATCCAGATAAACCCTCATCACAGGCCATTCCTACGTTTCGCCTTCGAGGGTCAAGTTTACCAATATGCCGTTCTCCCGTTCGGCCTATCCTTAGCACCCCGTACGTTCACGAAGTGCATGGATACAGCGCTCGCCCCCCCTGCGAAGTCAGGGGCTGCGCATACAGAATGAATTATCTGGACGACTGGCTGATTCTAGCAGATTCCCAGACGGAGCTTCTGTCGCACCGCGCAGTTCTCCTCAACCATCTGGAAGCGCTGGGACTCTCTGTCAACTGGACAAAGAGCTCTCTCCAGCCCAGTCAAACTATTTCATTCCTTGGAATAGATTTGAACTCTGAAGAGAACGCTCACTGCCCAATATTCTTCCCAAGGGATTAGCCGCCTCGAAACAGACTATCCAGGTGGATAGTAGACGCGATTGCCTCTGCTTATGCCGCTTAAGACCTGCCTTGCCCTCTGGGCATCAGGGCTCATTCCACCAGAGGCATGGCCTCATCGTGGGCATGGTCCTGCGGAATTTCCATTCACGACATTTGTGTGGCTGCGGGATGGGCCTCCCCCTCCACTTTTGTCAGATTTTATAACTTGGAAGTTCCAGCCTTACAGGCTAAAATTCTGGCGGTCTAGTTCTATACAGCTCTCCTATAGAAAGCCGCACTATCGGGAGTTCCATCACAACCGGCTCACCCCTTGTGTTCCCCTATGTGCTTATGCATACGTTCACGGCCCGCTACGCCGGCCGCCTTTAGGGCGTTTTGCACTAGATGATAACGGCCGCTATGCTGGCCGCCTTATTATCTTCATCCACTTAAGATTCCCCCCTGGGATGCAGTCGTTACTTAGCGCGCACGGCGTTGACCAGGTGTTCCCGTAGCGTAAGCTAGCTTACCCAATACGAGAGAACCTCTCGTTAGAGAACGTATCGGTTACGTAACCTCGGTTCTCTCTAGATGAGGGAACGAGTATTGCGTTCCCGGCCGTGCTTGCGCCACCAGCGTTTCGCTTCAAGCTGACAGAATCGACGAACGAGCTGGGACAGCGACCTTTATACACTGTAGCCACGCCCCTTTTGGCGGGCTGTGACGCAGTGAGCGAGCGCCGTCCGCTCATTGGCCGCGGACTCAGCGCCGCTCTCCCATAGGTTCGTGCATTCTCTCTGAGCGAACCAATGAGCCGCTAGCTAGCCCGCTCATGGTCTGCCTCAGAAGAGACTGCGTTGACAATGATTACAAAATTATGGAATAATTTTTTGGCTTCAACTTCTCAGCAAAGATGAATCTTTCCCGTAGCGTAAGATAGCTTACGCAATACTCGTTCCCTCATCTAGAGAGAACCGAGGTTACGTTAGGTAACCGATTCGTTTTCATTAAACCGAGAAAATGGAATTTTGTTTTATTTACGATCACTGAGAAATGTTCTATTATTTAAAATGCAATATATATATATATATATATATAGACGTTTTCTTCGGGGTGGATCCAGGCAAATGAATCCTTTTCACCTTGAAAATAATATATACACTCACCGGCCACTTTATTAGGTACACCTGTCCAACTGCTCGTTAACACTTAATTTCTAAGCAGCCAATCACATGGCGGCAACTCAGTGCATTTAGGCATGTAGACATGGTCAAGACAATCTCCTGCAGTTCAAACCGAGCATCAGTATGGGGAAGAAAGGTGATTTGAGTGACTTTGAACGTGGCATGATTGTTGGTGCCAGAAGGGCTGGTCTGAGTATTTCAGAAACTGCTAATCTACTGGGATTTTCACGCACAACCATCTCTAGGGTTTACAGAGAATGGTCCGAAAAAGAAAAAAACGTCCAGTGAGCGGCAGTTCTGTGGGCGGAAATGCCTTGTTGATGCCAGAGGTCAGAGGAGAATGGCCAGACTGGTTCGAGCTGATAGAAGGGCAACAGTGACTCAAATAAATACCCGTTACAA